TACGAAATAAACGCCACCGATTCTGATATTTTGGTACATAGAATTCCAGTACCATTCACAATAGCTCTGCCCACAGAACAGTCTTGTGATATATCAAAACTATTTCGAGTAACCTCCATCGCGAAACGATTGAAGACCGAAGCACGTATTTTCTTAAATTTATCTAGATATTAGCATAATTAGCTTAACACATCGACTCAGACACTCGGAAAGAATTTGCTATGACTCTCTTCACTAGCAATGACAGCAGCAATACAAAAACGCGACCTTTCTCTTCTAGAGTTTTGCTCTTAGGCTTGAATTAAGCAGCTGGTTAGTTTGTTAGATATAACAACACCGGACACGCCTCATTTATAATAATCTCCTCAGTGTATGCTTTGAGCCAGTTCCTAGACGAAAATATTCATCTGCCTTATGCTATTTCTAGTGACGGCGAAATGGTCAGAAATTCAGTCTGGTGCTGAAATGACACTGACTTCGCACAATCCTTGAGCCTGCCCGGTATGGCTGTATAAGTCCAGTATAATTTGGCTAGGAGATCCTCGCCTCCTAGCAGTTTCCTTCAGGGTATGAACGATATTGGACACAACCAAGATGTGGGTCTAGCCATCCACCGGAGATCGCTAGTTCAGGGACCCTGCAGATCTACACGAGTGGAGCGTGGTCATATTCTGCATGGTATTCTCGTGCCCATTATCGCTGCGTTTAAAGTCGGAATGGTTGACCCCGGTGTTGCAACCCAGGATGTCAAGCTCGCAAGTCATTCTGAATTTCACGTGTTAACACCACGCCTGAGTTACAACCGTTGAGATCTACCTAGGTAGCTATACTCAGCCGGTATTTGTACGAGATGTGTTAGTGGAATTGGCGTTGACTTCATTGTCGGTTCAAAGAGCAGTGAGGGTCGTATTTTCCCATAGTCTCGTCACTGGTAACGATAATCAGACGATACGTCTTATACCCCTAGGTCACTGCTACGACCGCTCACGATCACAGTCTTTTTGGCAAGATGCCGCATTGTGTATAGCTGAAAAGATGCTGGGATAACTGGAATAGTACGGCAGTGAACGAAGCATTGAATGGATTGCGTGGAAAAACGTAGCGAATTCATCAAGCAACACTAAGCGCGAGAAGTCTGGGTGTTGGAAAGAAAGCTCTATACTACCTGTTCTGGCAGGACACCACAGGAAGTCCTAGCAAACGACATCTCTTATGTCCCGCAATGCTTTGATTCACTAGTAGTCTTTCGCCTTCCTCAACTTCTATCTCTTTCTTTCACCACGGTAACTGTAGGTAGAAAGACCAATGGACTAAATATTCCAGTATATTGCACGAGATCGCTGCCTAGTCGTATTGGAGCCTAAGTGCGACACCTGAACGGAGTTTCCAATTCCACGTGATTCTTCATGCTCGAAGAAACAAGTTATAACTACTCCGTGCGTACGGAGTATCGAGACATGATAGGACCCACAGTTGTCGGACTATTTTCGTCGTGGTCCAATTCGTTGCCCGGCAGATCGCCTTTACATCAATTGCCCACATCGATCGGCGGCTTTACGACGACTAAGGTCTAGACCACCCTCTTGTTCCACTACTGCGCTTAAGTAGAGTGCCAATTAAGTGGAAAATTACAATTATTGGAAGGCTAGCCAAGGTTGGTCGTTTGAAGTCATATCACTCATAAGGCCGCAAAGCTCATGAGATGGCAGCCCAATGGCAGGTAGCCCTGGCCCGAACATTGGAATCACGACTACTGATTAGTACTAGTACCTATTTGTTTCGGATAGAATACATGGGAGAGAACACGGAGCACGGAATATTGCTCATAAATCCTATGACAGAGGAAATCTTCAATATGAGGTCACATCTCTAATAATAAGTGATATATAGAGTAAATGCGAGAGGCTGGGGTTGTGGGTCTTAATATACGTGTGTTCCCCGCCACCTATTAATTTTGCTTGGGCCTTGCCGCTTTTTCTTGGTTTTTCAGGTAGGTTTTTCTTTCGAATGGAGACTACGGAGTACGGAGTACGGATGTTGTATGTATACGGAGTACCGAGTAGGGTATAGAGTACTCTGTGCATATTCTCGATCGAAGATTTCTAATCGAATGTCCTGTGTCACGTACCATGCAGAATAGTCATTGTACATGCAAATGTACATTAGCATCTGAACTGCACACCCGAGTGTACGACTCCAATGAGAAGATGTAGACTCCATGCAACAACGTGGCGTAGCTCTACCTAGGTACTCCGTAGGTAGCCCGGGTCCACCAGGTGGGCACAATCTCGATCCGGGATTAAATCTGATTGGTCCAATGACAACCGGGGACCCACGGATCGACCAAAAAAGAAGCGGAAACGGAGGAGGCTGGCACCTTCCCAAGATTTGTTTAAGACCGTTTGTGTACTTCCCCTAATTCACTAATTTGCTCATTTACTTGATCCCTTTTCTCTTCTTTGCTCACCTTTTACCCTTTACCAACTTTCATCTTCATCATTGCATAATACGAGATTACTTATAGCTTACTCTACTTGGCCCACCATGCGATTCTTTCTGGGTGCGGCGCTAAGCCTGCTGTCTTCCACGCTAGTTGCGGCCCAGACTTATACCGATTGCAATCCGACTCAGAAATGTGAGGCTCATAATCACTGTTGTGTCAACAGGTCACTAACAACCAGCAGCATGTCCCGCTGATCCTGCATTTGGCCAATCTGACAAGACGTTCGATTTCACAAGTGGCGCATCTGATGCTTTCAAGTCGACCGGATCCGTCACATACGACCAGACAAATGGTGCAACCTTCACTATTTCCAAACAGGGTGACGGCCCGCTGATTCAGTCCGGCTGGTACATTATGTTCGGCCGTGTGGAATTCACCATCAAGGCAGCACCAGGGACGGGAATCGTGAGCAGTGCAGTTCTGCAGTCCGATGATTTGGATGAAATTGACTGGGAGTGGCTGGGTGGAAACAACGCCCAAGTGCAAACCAATTACTTCGGCAAAGGAGACACATCTTCATACAGCCGTGGCGCCTACCACGAGAATGCCGGAAACCATGACGACTTCCACACTTTCTCCATCGACTGGACCAGCACCCAGATTGTGTGGGCAATTGATGGCAAGACTGTCCGTGTCCTCACACCGGAGACGGCAGACACCAACCGGTACCCAGAGAGCCCGATGATGATCAAGGTCGGTGTTTGGGCTGGTGGTGATTCGAACAATCCCCAGGGCACTATTGGTGAGTGGGAGTATCCTGCAAATTATTCTCATCGTGCTTGCTAACAAATTGTTGTTCGTGCAGACTGGGCTGGTGGTCAAACAGACTATAGCCAAGGCCCCTTCAAAATGTATCTGAAGTCAATGACCGTGACTGATTACTCCACCGGAACTTCGTACAGATATGGTGACAGAAGTGGCTCGTGGAAGTCAATCATTGCGGAAGGAGGCAAAATCAATGGCAACCAAGGCGCCGAGCCCACGTCGACCGAGTCCGCACCAGCAATTACTGCAACAATCGACAGCGTCCCAGTTCCCTGGAGTGGAACCCACAAGGAAACCACAAGCTGGGTCACTCCAAATGTCTGGCCCTGGGTGGCGACCGGCTCTCCTTTGGCCTCGTCGACAGGATACCAGTATGAATGGGAGTCTAGCTCCGGCCACAACAAGCCACCAGGTGGAGGCTCGATGAGTGAGCAATCCCCCGAATCCCTTCTTGATTAGATCCGTCGATTAATATCGAATCCTTTTCCGCACAGTCTACCTTCCGCTCTATGTCAGCAGCATTGCCTTTTTCTTCGGTTGCCTTTTCCCTCTCTGGCGTTGATTTCGCGAGGAACCTCGACTCGATTGACGAGTGGAGCCGCATATTCAACCAGACCCAACACTACCATTACTTCTACCAATACACTCACTCGAGAGGCTACACCGGCAGCTTTCGACCCTCACATGCTCGATCGGTGGGCAGTGCGAAGAGCCCATTCCTGCAATGGCAGGTGTCTTGTGTGCTCTCTTTGGGCATGTTATTGCATTGGTTTGAACGCACCCGCGTTTGTATTATTATTTGATGACTTCATCGGACCCGGCGTTGGCTTATATTTTTATTGGACATGATACATGAGCGATGACTTCAACGGCTCACGAAACAGCCGCAGCATTTGGATGCTTAGAGGGAGCTTCTTTTCTTGTTTACACTTTACTTTTATTATTCATAGATGTCAAACGCGAATATCCAATCGATGGACCACGCGTGCCCTACATACACAACGAGCCTTCATGTATCCATAGCTTGCTGGACTACATATAGTCTGGTTAATGAAAAGCCCTATTTTCCATACGTGTCTCTCTTCATCCCGCACATACAATCCACGTTACATATGTAGCTTTCACCTACACGAATTTCCAAAGCACGAATTCTGACCTCGGTACATGGGTACGATTACTGGAGTGAAAATAGAGAAAGATTTAAGTGACACCTATGGCAAGATTTCATGGCCAGAAGAGGCTTGGTCTGAGGTCCTCGTACCAAAATAGTAATAGCTCTTTGGGTTTCGGTACACCCTATCTTGACAAGATGGTGACGATGAGGGGTTAAAAAGTAGAAAGGTAAAACACAAACACCGGTTTACATCATGAGATACACAACTGTAACTATTTCAAACAGATGAAGGTAGGGTATGAAGAAGATCAAAGGAAAAAAGGACTATCTAAGAAGACGGAGATGGCCAAGATATCGTTGGCTAAACGTTTGCTACCTACAGACTAGAACAGCCTTGGGGGAATCGGAGACAGCTGTGATCCATGGCTCTTTTACGGAGCCATCAAAACCTTGGAAAAAGTGAGAGACACCTCACTCTGAAGATCGACTTCTTGCTTTTATAATTCTCTCATTCTCTCATTCTCTCATTCTCTCATTCTCTCATTCTCTCATTCTCTCATTCTCTCATTCTCTCATTCTCTCCCTTTTCCAACTCTCCCAATACCACTGCTTCCCAACATGATTGATAAAAGCGTTATCATCACTGCCCACCGAGCTTTAGCTCTTCCAGAAATCGTGGGTGAAATCCTCGTTTGGCTCGGAAACGGCCCTATACATTGGTTACTGCATTGCGCCTTGGTAAACAAGACATGGTTCCACGAAGCGATACGTAGATTGTGGAGCGACTTAGAAGCACATGGGATCTTCCTCGAGGAGGGCATGATGGGAATTTCCCCAGACCGCCGCCAGATGTATGCCAACCTTGTGAAGATTGCAAGTGTGGCAACCTATCTCCAGGAGACAGAACCAGTGGTTCAGCCAGCTTTGGAAAGCGTGGTCTTTCCGCAGTTACACACTTCGTACCTTGTTTTAGCCTTTCATGGCTCGGGCACGGACAAGTGTATCCGCATCCCAGCCTTGAACATGCCAAGTCTCCAGACCCTTCATGTCGAATATGCGGCAGCTTTCAACATGCCAGATATGATCAAGTATGCGGCTGGGCCCAGGTATCTATACCCTGATCAATGGGACTATCTCGTTGACCAGATACCGGTTTGTTTCACTGGCTACCGTCCGTTGCACCATGTGTCTAACAATTCTGCATATCTAGAAGCTCTTTCCTCGGTTGGTAAATTTTCAAGTTGTGATACCGGCCATCCTTTATATTGCCGGCTTTGAGACTCTATCTAAAAGGTTGCCAAACTTGGAATCTATCGAGTTTGAGGAGATTTTGTCCTGTCGGACGTGGACGATAGTGAGGGGGATACAGTTAGTGAGAATTCTGATAATGAGGACCTGAACGAGGAGGATTCGGACGACCAGGATTTGGACCGGGACTTGGACGACCAGGATGCGGATGACGAGGATACAGATGAGGAGGGCACAACGTACACATACACCGTGAATGCGGATGAGAGATGAGGAGCCTGATTCAGCTTCTCTACATTCTCATGATAATTGTTGTACTGTGCTTGTGTCGATTTTACAGTACTTTTGCTTCAACACAGCTGGCTTTTTAGTGCACACTTCGAGTTTGCTTGCTTTCTGGAGGTCTAAGACGAATGGAGGGGTCAAGTGTATGATGGATGCGATGGGCACAGAAGTGCAGAACTACAATGTTTTGGGAGACCTAGATAATAGTTATGTTAACCATCTGTAACTTTCTTCACCATTAATTTCAATCTGTTGGACTGAGGTGTTCCGGCACTATCATAGGCACCCCGTGTGATTCAAGGCCTAGACTCGATTGTAGTTGATCATATTGAAAGTCTAGATGGTTCGTGAAATCTGACTGCCAGCTATCTCCTAGTTAATTTACTGGAGGATGAAAATATGCTTGACTTAACCCCCCTCAAGGTCCGTCCTTTTAGCCTAACCATGGTTTCCGCTCTGGAGCCAAATAAAATAACGGATATGATCGCTAGCATATTCCGCCTCATCCTAAATAGAGATATAGAGGTCCACGCCCATCTCTGGTGGTTCTTTTATCGTGCTAGCCTCGTAAGAGATAGCAACAACTTTGAAATTGACCTGTCCCCCAACGCCAATAATGCCCACACATCTACCCGGATCACAACTATGATGCCTCAGGGGGCTGTAGAGTGCAACCCCACCACACAAGAAAGCACCGCGGCCAAAGAAGGGATAACATGGGGCTCTTGACGGTGAAAATGCGATGGGACACGGCCGTAGGGGGCATATTCAGTGTGAGTCTTATCACCATTCTACAATTCATTGTAGGTAAGCACATCTCTGACTTCCCTTCATGTCTATTACAGATGTCATCCGCGGCGAACGGGACAACTTCGAAAAGGAAACCTTATATAAATGGGTCTTGTTACGGGTGTGTTTCTTTCTTTCGAGCTTAATTCGACATTGAGTATCCCAATACTCTGGCATTTAAACAGCTTGCCGCAACATTATTACTGCCATTATCATAATTTCCTGCTACCTACATGATGTATGTAGCTGCGTACGTTGTAGTATGGATTAAGGAGAGGAAAGCGGGTCCATCGTAAGTGACGAAGTTGAGCGACCAATAGAAAGCTTGAGACCACATGAGCATTCATGGACCCACCGATCGCCAACGTCTTATGTCATCCAGCTGTCGCCCCACCTGGGCATCCAATTGATTTTTCGATTATTCAACATCCCGTTCTCGGCCAGTCATATAATCATCGTATCGCCTCTGCATTTGTCATGCTTCTTCAGAACTCCTTGGCCTGCACAAATTCGATCTACGTCAAGACAGGAACTTCTTACATATTCAATTGCGGACAATGGGCGAAGAAACGACTAAACCGAGTGGTCGCAAACGAGGTCGTCCTCGAACTGTGACCGATGATCAAGAAGTGCCAGAGGTGGGTCAAATCCCAACGCTGCAAGTGCATATGCTTATACTAATCATTAATTATAGAGGCGTCGCAAACAACTCCGGCTTGCGCAGCAGGCGTATCGGAAAAGGAAGGAGACCACGATCGGTAACCTACAGAACCGCGTACACGAATTAGAAACCGGCATCGAGAATATCAGCCACTCTTTCCTCTCCTTCAGTAGTCTTCTTATAGAAGAGCAACTCCTTTCACAATACCCGCATATCGCATCGGCTCTTCAAAACATAACTCAGCAATGCGTGTCGCTTGCGAAGGCTGGGAGTGAGGATCCGAGCGAGGGAGCCCTCCCCGTCGTTCGGGCCGCAAAAGAGTCTCAAACCACAAATAATAATATAGCTCCAACTCGAGTTCTGGATGGTGCACACTCAGAAGATCCAACAGATGCCGAGGATATAATACGATCAGCTGCTACGGGCTGGCCCGGCCCTCCTACTCCACCATATCAAGGTCAATCCATATCACCGTTCGACCTCGTCATGTCGTCATCTACTGTTCAATTTCCTCATATTACCCCGCCATTATCGAACTCTTCGACACTAGATCCACACTCTAGTAATATAATGCCTGCCAGGCAGTGGAATATCGCACAACGCATAGTCCGGACTTGCTCTGAGCTGGGATATCACCTTCTCATCGACAAACCAAACAGTTCCATGGTCCAGCATATCTTTGGGTCCGCTCTGAGCCTGCAACAACGCAATCGTCTGATCTCAGCCTTTTACGCTGTCATGCAGGAGGACACCGGTGTCTTGACAGACCCCAAGGCTAATGTACTTCATGCCCTGCTGTCTGGGCACAATATGAACACATGCTCGGATGAACAACTCCAGGTCTCATCTAGAACATGGCAGATTGCGCTCGAATCGGCTTCTGGTGAGTGGATGGATGCCATCGGAGTTCAAAGATACCTGCGCGACAAGAGAGCGATCTTTGAGAACTTTCCCGATTCCCCTGGCCCTCATGGTTATTCAGTCTCGCCTTCACTTGATATAACAGCCTTCATCAAATGTAAGTTCTCCTGAACAGAATGTCTTCGAAGAAGTCCACTAACACCACTGTAGCCCTCTCAAAGGAAGCCATATGCGTTGGGAATGGACCGGCATTTCGACGGCAGAGCGTTGACAAAGCTCTTCGGCTGGCCACGATCAGTGGGCCGTGGGATTTCGATAATCTTTGTAATTTATAACGAACATTTCTACCTGTAAATATATAATGTATGCACTAGGGGATGTGGCCCGGCAATTCAAACAATTGAGTATACCTACCCATTTGGTTATTAGCAGGAGCTGCCCTAAGTCTCTGAAACAATGTCTCACCCTACCCACATTGTTATTTTGCTGCCGATTTCTGAAATTGGGCGTTTCTGAGATCGATAAAAAGAGCCCATGATTAGAAAGCTATCTATATAACCTTGGGATTGAAGTTACTCTTATAGCTACAAGTTTCATGAAGCATTAGCTTGTTAGATGATTGGATGTAAAGCGGATCAGAAACGACATAACTTGTAGACTCATAAATTACTCTCCTGTATCTACAAGCTCTTGAATATCCAATCCAATACGAAATAGCGCGACCTTCCACCTTGTATGTTACAATTGTATTGGGACCAGCTATAGAGCAGTTCGCTTTCGTGGTAGGCAAAAGGCCACATTGTCATAGTCCGAAGACATATACTCATGCACATCCCTCCTATCTCAGCCTCGTATAACATGCAGGCGATGTTTTACTTCTACGCCCTTCGGCGGCATGTGGATCTCCGGGTAGCACCGCAAGAGGGGGCCATTGGCTCGGCGTGACTCACCCCTCTCCGTGTTCTCCGTATCTCGAGCAATGCGAAAGTTATCATCAGAGCCAAATTGAGTCACTGCGCTTCGATTTCGTATTATAAATTCTCTTCATATCGTTGAACTTGCGGTGGTCAGAACTTATCCCACGACTATTATCAAGCTTTCTTGCGTCCCCCAATATGACCGTGACAAGTCAATCAACTCCCTTTGGCAAGCCGATGCTGAAGCATTGGATGTTCGATCCCGCCTATAAGAACCTGAACCATGGATCATTCGGTGCCCATCCGATTCCTGTTAAGGACGCACAGCGTGCGTTCATGGATCTCGCCGACGTGCAGCCAGATCCATACATCCGCAAACAGCACGCAGAGTACCTGGATACAGCTCGTGAGGCTGTCGCAAAGATCCTCAACGCTCAGCGGGACGAGTGTGTGTTTGTTAAAAATGCGACAACAGGCGTAGCGACTGTACTGTATAACTTGGCTTTCCAACCGGGTGAGGCACTCATTTACTTTGAGCCCGTCTACGGTGCTGTTGAGAAGGGGGTTGTCTCTCTACAGGAGCATACCTCTTTGCAATCTCGAAAAGTGCCTTTCCAGTTTCCTATTCCCGAAGATGAGCTGGTACGCCGTTTCCGCGAGGTGATTCGCCAAACTCGTGAAGAGGGACTCAAAGTCCGGGCCAGTGTCTTCGACGCCATTGTCAGTAATCCGGGTGTGCGGTTCCCCTTTGAACGCATTACTGCAATTTGTCGTGAAGAGGGTATTTTGAGTGTCATTGACGCTGCGCACGGCGTTGGAAATATCCATCTCGATATGGAGAAGCTACAGCCTGATTTCTTCGTATCAAATTGTCACAAGTATGAACTATCCCCCATCATCCTACTTCTAAATAACTTAAGAAACCCTCGAATATTGACTCGGCTTTATAAAGATGGCTCTACACACCCCGTAGCTGTGCAGTCCTCTACACTCCCCGACGTAATCAACATCTACTGCGCAGCACCTTGCCAACATCTTGGGGATTTATCCCAGCGCCGGACTCTCCCGAGACTATCGCTTCCGTACTGGAAGACCCCAATTCTCCCGTGACGAAGACTGCCTTCGAGCAACTCTTCGAATTTGTTGCCACCAGTGATGACTCCGCGTACCTCTGCGTTCCGGCAGCGCTAAAGTTCCGCGCCGAAGTCTGCGGAGGCGAGGACGCTATTATTGCCTATAACCAGCGTGTTGCAAATGAAGGTGCAGACGCTGTTGCTGCCGCTCTCGGTACTGATGTCATGCAAGAACCTGATCTGAAGCCTGGCCAGGAGAGCCGTATGCGCCAGTGTGCCATGACTACGGTCCGGCTTCCTATTGCTGTGGCCCCGGCCGGAAAAGAGGGCGAATCCTTGGACCACACTGCTTTAGTTGTTTTGTCTGAGGAAGATGCCCCTAAGGCATTTTCTTGGATTCAGACGCAGTTGCTGGACAAGCATAACACTTTCCTGCCGGTTTTCCGCCATGGCCCTTGGCTATGGACTCGCCTGAGTGGCCAGACTTACTTGGAGACAAGTGATTTTGAATCCATTGGGGTTGTCTTGCGCGACCTTTGTGAACGGGTTGCGAAGAAGGAATTCAAGGCTTGATCTTGTTGTCTATACCTAGCACTGACTGAGTAGCAATAATTGCAAAAATAATCATTAGATAAAAATATCCAGGTTCATTTTAGCCAGGAGTACTTATCGGGTTAAAGCCGGACGGGTCATACTGCCTTCACCTCCAAGGCTGCCAAAGGAAGGTCCGTAGAGTCCATACCGATGTATGAACGACACAGGGAACAACCCTTCTAACAAACTCGAGCCAACCTATATGTTCCATGCAATACAATCTAAGATGCGATCCGAGGCTAAATATTATTGCTCGTTCGAGGAATTTGGCTTTTGGCAAGGACTATTGGTAAAATATGTTATTTTTTCCGCTATACTAGAAGCGGGTTGTGCATGTTCTTCCTATATACTATCATCAGTCTCAAGGTCCTCTAAACCATGTACTTTATTCAAAACATACTAAAGTTATCATGCCTGTCGCAAAGGAATTCGAAGCAGCCAATATCAATAGCAACCTATGAATGTGGCCAAACCATTTTGCTACTACAACCTACATATATGTACGTATGAATAGATTTTAGGTCGTGTACGATTGGCACATATGTAGCATACCGCCACCCTACTTACTGGCGGCTTAGGAAAAGTGAGAGAAAAAGAGAGATAGAGAGTAGAGACAAAGATAACGCCCTCGGATGCTCCGACAATAGAAAAGAAATCGCCAACGGCCAATGAATCATCAGATCCCACACGAAAAATGTACATAGGTGGTTATACTCCAGACAGAGACTCCTTTCGGCTGTGATGGCATTTTCAGGCCACGCCAATCTTCAACAGGCGTCTATCGTCTTCTGGCTCCCTTAACCACCAGACTACCAACCACACCCGCGACGAGAGCCAAGCCACCCACAATCGCAACGCCCACCAGGCCCTCCTTGGCGACTTTATCATCAATGAGTGACCCAAGGCTGGCAGCCTGGAGGTTTGCGGGCTCCTTCTCTAGGAGCAAATCGTTGTATCGGCGAGCTTCGCCATAATTGCCTAGCTTGAAGTTGCCGAGGGCTAGATAGTAGAGGCATTCGCGTCGTCGCTCCGGAGCTCCGCGGAAGATCTCTGAAAGCAGGCGAACACCTTCTTGCTGCTCGGAACGGATGTTGGATTTGATCAGACCCTGTAGTCAATACCACCCCCGCATAGGCGGGGAGTGCCGGTTAGTGCGGGCACGCTTGATCAAGGCTGGATAAACCATACCCATGCGTAGTTGAACTTTGTCTGGATCCCAACATAGTCGCCTTCTTTCTCATATTGCGCTCTCAGGACCTGTAGCTCGGCGGGTTTCAAGGGACTGTGTCGGTGGTATTTAGGTTAGTTTTTACGGCTCCGATATTTTCTTTCGGTGGTTCGTTCACGGAAAACAAACCTTTCCGCGTCAGCGGCATCTGGAGCGACGAAGCAAGTCAGTTTTCAAGCATCAGGCATCAGTCGAAACAAACACCACCTACATGGAAGGTTGGACATGGCGAGATAGGGATGTGATGGCTTTTAGACGGAGAGATATTGACCAGAACTGGAGTTCCAACGATTCGATAACAGTTTGTCAAGAGAAAGAGTCGTGGTTGCGTTGGGCGATACGGCAAAAGCGAGGACCGAGAAATCACAAGCGCAACGTCACTTTGCGGAGGAGCAACATATGTGGCGGTGCTGTGGCTGTTGCTGCCGCAACAAACCCCAAACAACCGACTTTCCACCTCGACATCTATAACCACCGACACCATGTTGCTCGACGAGGACCCTGGAACAGTATGTACTACTCTCTTTGCTCTCATAATTTAGACATAAGGAATTTACTGACGTTTCCAGCTCATTCACCACACGATCGGAAATTTTAACATCCACCCGATAAACAAGCCGTCACACGCATCAATGACTCGCTCGCAACCCTCCAGCAATCGCGCGATCTGCGCATTCGCGAGGCCGAGGCAGCCATGCGAAAACTTTCACGACACCTGAATTCCCTATCTACACAGCATGAAGAAGCCGTGGCCGTGCACGACTCGGGCAAACACGCGGCGGAGATAGTGGAGTTAGACACCAAGAAGTTTCGCATCGCCAAGGCTGCATCAGAACTAGAGATTGAAAGCGAGCGGCTGGAGAGTGAGCTGGAGATTCTCAAGGAAAGACTGGTCGACCTGAGAATCCCAGGGTCTCGAGGGCGACGAAACAACGCGGCGCGAGCGTGAGGCCGATGATGCGACAATGTGCGTTCCTGTCCCCCGGTCTTGGATTGATACGCGTGCTAATATATATCTAGTCTACGGCTCAAAATCTTCCGTTCTCTCGGTGTTGATATCGAGCCCGATGAGGCAGGCAATTTCAACCGAGCGGTCATTCGCAATAGCCGCAAGGGCGATGTTCATGTCGTCAATATCGACCCGAAATTCTCCCGCTTCTTCTACGCAAATTACTTTTGGTCAACGATGCAAGGATGATCATTACGAGGGATGGTTTTGTGGGGGTCTATCCTCTCTGGCGTTATTTTTGGAGGCTGGAAGCCGTGTCTTTCTCTCGCTGTTGGTGTTTCTATACCCTTGGATTATTTTCTGTCATGAATCATACAATTCTTCTTCATACTTTCGAGCAATACGACAGCCTGAACATAGCATATTCTGCAGGTAGTAGAGCGTTCACTCGGATGTCGGCTGCTGTTGTATCCGCTCTTGTAAAGCTTGAATAACCTTCTTCCGCTCTGCGTCCGATATTGTCCTATCAAGCAATTGAGCAGAGACGTCATGCGGTAGGACCCTTTCCGCAACATCCAGCAGCTCCCCCTTCTGGATTTCCGACAAGTTCATACCCCAGGATGCGACCCATTGCTCGGCGAACTCGATAAGCTGTTTCTCCACCTCATCCATATGGGGGATATCACATCCATCCCAGGTCAATACCATTTCTTTTTTGTAACCGAGCCAGACTCGGCACCTTTTGTGGTTCCATATCGCGTTTCCACACCTAAAAGGCCAACCCCAAGTTCCTCTGCACGGGCATTCCAAAGTGCCTGCTTTAAGGTTCCGTCCCGTTCGATCATCATCCAGAACAACGGATATGCGCTCCGAGCTAACGTATCACGAACACCTTTGGTTGCCTCGCGCGGACTCACCAAGACGCCAACCGTCTCGCCCGTGCGCCACCCGACAGGCGCCTGGCGGAATGTTCCTTCTAGCTCGCGGACAACATTAGGGCCCAGTTTGGTCTTCAGTGATTTGCACTGTACTAGTACACGAAGTGCGCGCTCTCGCTCGCGCTCCGGGAGGTGCCAAGTGCCAACGAGATCGATGCCGGCGTCGTCGCGACCGCCGATGCGGTCGAGGCTTAGCGCATAACGACGTAAGATTTGGAGAACTGTATACTCGTAGTGTGTACCGACATGTACTGTACTCGTCACTGGAAGAGAAATATGGTCCGCGTAAGAGAGAAATGTAGTCAGGTCATTGTGGTGTTGCGAGGGTGGAGCTGGGGCCGAGGGGAGTTTGAAGAGGCGGCGAGTGAAAGGTGTCAGGTCATAATGAACCTGGGAGCTGGAAAAGTAGCGACAGTTATTTTGTCTGAGTCTCAAGGGAGAGTATCCGGCAGCAAGGCCATGGCACAGTCGCAACAGGCGCATTGAGTGATGTGAGAGTGAGAAGCCCGCCTCACCGCATTGGAGCTTCTCTCCGCATTTGCTCCGCTTCTTTGCGCTCGACCAGACATCTTTCTCAAGCCACTCCAAGCTTCTTTTATTTATTCGCCTCATGGCCGATATTCTCACACAGCTCCAGACTTGTCTGGATCAGGTAGAACCCGCTTCCAATAACCTACATTCAAACGCTTGCTTACCATACGAACAAAATAGCTCGCAACACAATTCTACGCAACACTTGGCTATCTCACAACGTACCACGACAATGCCCCCACAACACCACCACCTAATGTCCCAGACGCAGCACCAGCCCTAGCCAAAATCATTAAGAACAAGTCGTCACCACCGGTACCAGCATCCATCGCAAACAAGGCGGGGGGAGCAGCGGCCGTTGCAGGAAACGCATCACCCCCGCTTGCGCCTCCTCAACAACCTGGAGCTGCACCAGCAACAGCACCAGAAAACCAAGATCCCGACCTTCCTCCCGCACCAGACTCGCCCCGCACATTTGCGAGCCGACAGCGGGAACTTGCGCGCGACCTCATTATCAAGGAACAACAGATCGAGTACCTCATCTCCGTGCTTCCTGGGATTGGCGCCTCTGAAGCTGAGCAAGAGGCCAGAATCCGGGAACTGGAGACAGAGCTTAGAGGCGTTGAGAAGGAGCGTGCTGCGAAAGTCCGGGAGTTGAAAAAGTTGCGGACTCGGCTGGAGGATGTTCTCGGCGCTGTTACTGTGGGTATCCATGGGGATGACTACCCTCAAAAGTGATTGTACATGTGCTAGGTCTATTGTTACCATTTACCTGGAATTTCGGAGTCATGGGGAACAGAGAGGACTGGCGCGGGTTTTCATTTTCTTGCTATATTCTCGGCGTTATGTGATGGATGGTCTTTTACCGATTGCACAGGCATATGAATCAATCTCATGAATACCAAATGATGGCATCATTATACCTAATTCCTTCCAATCTTGCGATGGAACCTTGTACCTTTACAAAACGCTAATGCCATTGCCTAAATATGTAGAAGGATGATATCTTTCTCTATTGGGCCGAAATGAACAAGCCAAAAAAGGATAGATAGTTCGCCAATCTTACATCCTTGGACTTGGGAAACTGTACTGCTATTCAGTGGCATCATACTCTACGAAGTGTAAGTGATATCACATTTGCTCCTTCCAAAAAGATGGCCAGGTGATTTCTATTTACCATATCGTTGTACACCCTCGTTTCGGAAGTATAATTGGAAGCCTGCAACATTGAATCTATTGTATAAATATGTCTAACACAATGAATGCACCAGAAAAGAAAAAGAATTAAAACGATTTCCATGGCTACAACAACCAAGCCCGTGTTAAACGTGCTAACCTGCTAACCTGTGCCGTAATAAAGGAAGAATAGAAAGCAATCTCCCGGTATATGATCATGAGGATCAAATCTTGGAAGATGTAATGATAAATACCAACGCCTTCTCCTTTTCCGGGTATCATAAAACGAAACCAGCCACCGAAATTGGGGCAGAAATAAAAAAGCAAAACGAAAACCGAAAACCAGAAAAATCAAATGGGAAACAAAAAAGGGAAACAAAAAAGGGAAACGCAGGGGTAAATGGGGGAAACGAAGAATGGCAGCATGCAAAGCTGGGACGAGAAAAACAAAAGATAAAAGGATTTACTTGAAAAGATTGCGGTATTCACGCATGCGAGCCTCCTGGGTCTCCCGCTTGTCTTGCTTCACGCGATTCAGGCTCGTGTCAGCCATCTCTTGCTTCTTCCTGGCAAGGTCCAGTATCTTCTCCTCAATGCTGCCCTTCATGATGAACTGGAAGGTTTGCACGGGCCGAGTTTGACCAAGACGATGAACACGGTCAATCGCCTGAGCGACGGCAGCTGGGTTGTACTGGGGCTCCATGATAAAAACACGCGAGGCAGAGGTAAGATTCAGACCCACACCACCGGCACCAATGGTTGCCAGAAGAACTTTGATATTGTCGTTGTTGGCAAATTCCTCGAGGGCCTTTGTACGTGCTGCAAGGGTCATGGTACCATCAAGTCGGGTAAACCCGTCAAGCCCATTGTTTTGCAAGGCGATCTCAATGAGATCCAGGTGCGAGGTCCATGCAGAGAACACAACACTCTTGATAGGCGACTGGCCTTCGAGACTCTTGCTGTCTTCAACGCTTTGCTTGAGGTGGTGGATTAGTGCAGTGGTTTTGGTATGCGGTCCTTCGTATTCGCCCAGATTCTTGCCCAGCTTGCGGGTTTGCCGATCACGTTCCTTTTGGGCCTCATATTCTTCAAAGCCAGCAGGTGTGATGGTCGAGTACTTCATGTGGATCCAGCCTTCGCACCTGGGGCAACGGGTCTGGGTGTCGGGGCAGGAATCAAATGCTGGTTTCCAACCAGAGAAACAGCTGGGGCAGAAAGTGTCATAACAGGGTAGGGCAAAGGCCATCGGAGAGTCACGGGCGACAGCTCCCATTGAATTCAGAGGTTCATCGAGTTCCCGATTACAATTCCCACACCGGGGGGTTGAGGCTTGCTGGATCAGGGCGAACATCTCATATGCCTTCTTGTCTATGGCTCCTGGGGTCTCGTCCGGTTCGCCCTCCTCCAGGTCGATTGCGTCGTTAACAGAAAGTCCCTTGGCCCTGTCTCGGTCTGCCACATCAAGAAGCTCTTTTCCATGTGCACTGACTTGGCGGAGAATCATCATGGCCTTCAAAACATGGTGATACATCCGGCCACCAATCTGGCGTTTGTCCTCACCAGCAATGACACTCATCATCACATTTGATTCCGCCTTGAAGAAATCATGCAATTGCTGTTCTTGCTCGGTGAAATTTAGAGTGATGATTTTGTCTTCCCTGGGTGGCAGATCAATTTTGTCCTTGACTCGCCGCAACGTGAATGAATCCACCAGAACCCGCAACCTGGCAAGTACGTTGGGATCGCCATTTTTGACCGGGCTACACACATGTTGGGAAAATTGGCTTCGTTGATCGTAAGGGGCAATCCGCAAAAACCTGGTCACGGACAGAAGATCTTCCATGCGGTTTTGGATTGGGGTTCCGGTAACCGACCACCGACGCTCGGAGTTGAGCCCGAGGATCGCCTTGGTCTGTGCTGTATTTTGTTCTCTGATGACATGAGCTTCATCGAGAACAATCCGGAACATGTTCATTTTTGTCAAAGGACTTAGTTTTCCACTTTTGGCGCCACGCCCCGAGATCTCGCTGAGAATGGTGCTGTATGTCGTGATAACGATATCGTACTCCGAAAGTTCCTGGGAATCAGTGGTGCGCGATGGACCGTGAAAGACATAGTAGGTGACGGACCGTGGCTTGAGATGTTCCTTGATCTGTGTAACCCAGTTGCTCACTGCACTCAACGGGACAACTAATAGTGTTGTCCGTGTGTTGCGAATTCCTGGAGTTCGGCGAACAAGGACAGGATCAGGAGCCATCTCGGTCCATTCTTCAGCTGATCCAAGAGATGACGTGATCAACGAAAGGATACTCAGAGTCTTACCTAGGCCCATCATGTCGGCCAACAAGCCGCCTAGAGCCTCCTCGGGCTTTTGCTCTGATATCATTCCAGTGATGATCTCACGGTACTGAGTCCTCCCATTGGGTGCACGTTCCATTCTCCACAATGAGTTGTTGTCTTCTTCTTTTCGGCCAAATTTGCGCGGTTTTTCTTTCTCCGTCATAAACCAGAGGGCTTGTTTCTGGTGATGGAGCAATGGTGTGTTGATGTGACGAGAAGGCTCCATGGTCGGAATGTTCGCGTTGGCGAGCTGGTCGAACATCTTCATGACTGCATCATTGGCCTCTTCGGCAGTTCGCGCTTCATATCGGACGGTTGACACTGGGCGAGACCGCCCGGAGTTGTTAGAGACAGCAAGCTGGCGTCGGGTCTCCGCGTGTGGATTGAACACAGTAGTTCCTTTGTCCACGGAATTCGGAGTTGCTAGCCAGACATTGCGGTGAGATAGAAATTTGCCAACAGCCTCTGCATGCTTTCTTTGGCCGTAGATATTGATGGTTGCACGCCATAGCCCTGAGGTGGGAGTCCAAATTTCTTCATTCGGCGAGGTTCTGCGGTAATCCAGCAAGGCTGTCACCTCGATAATTTGAGTTTCGGAGTCCAAGAGCGGACACAGTCCTTGTGCTGTTTTAGGGTCAATTGTACCGAAAACTTTACCGTGAGGGTCCGCGACGTGAATCTGAAAATTGCCCTTCACCCGCTGGCGTCGCAAATCTAATTTAATAGATGGCCAAGCGTGCGAATAGTCGGTGCTAACGGAGGGTCCTGGCTTGGGGACTATATAAGCGGCAATCATTGCGTTTTCGACTTTGCCGAAGCAGACACGCTGGGCGCTGAGATCGGTTGAACCGGTGCATAGGACTTCGTCATCGTCCTTAGGTGTGTCCACACGATCTAGAACAGTATTAGATAAATTCAAACGAAATCAGGGGAAAGAGGGCGAAATAAAGAATGTCATACCTGCTGTCAGATCAACAACGTTGGATGTAGTGGAAATTGGGGTTGGTTTCACATCCTCTTCTTTCATCCACTTCCCAAGCCCACTATCCCCAGAGATCGAGACTGGCGCTTTCGTCATGTTCGGATTCTCTTCCACATTATGGTCGGTTTTTATTTTCTTTGTCAGTTGGTTCTTCCGCTTTTCAACCCCATAGACATCTTCGATCAAATTGGGGCGGTAGGTGATGTTCTCGTCATCGCTCATCTCCCGGTGGCTTCTTTTCGTGTCGCTGTCGTTGTCTTCATCATGGGGGGTGCTGAACTGCACTGTCAGACTCGATTCTGGCTTCACAGCTGGGGTCGAGCTTCCCGACGCCACACTTGGAGAGGTGTGAATATTGGGATGATGAATGCGTGTAACGGCTGCGGTGCCTGCAGGAGCCATGGGAGAAGCAAAAGATGGTCCGTTTCCCTGCTGTTTTCCTGGACCTTCCAAAAGTAAGCCTTGGGAATCCGTGGAGTCGAGAAGCATGGGGTCTGACGGAGCAGAAAGTGAAGATAAATTGTGGGAAGAAAGACTCGAAGATGGATCAAGCGAATTGGGAGGACAAGGGGAAAAAGACTCAGCTGGGCCAAGAGACTTTGTATGCATAATCGAAGTATCCATCTGAGGGGCAGAAAAGACACAAGATTCAGCTGGATGCATGATTTCCGTAGACATAAGCTGAGTATCCATCTCCGTGTCATGATGGACAGGAGCCTCCGGTGAGTCAAGGTCTTTGGACATGGCCGAGGAATCCGTTGTGTCCACACAAGGGAGGGTAGGAACACGAGAAGAGGTACAAGGGGAATCAGGAGAAACAAGCGCACGAGAATAAGTTATAGGCCCATATTTGTCCAAGGGAGACTCGCGGGGCATAGCGGCACCATCCATGGTTGGCAAATCACTCGCTGGGGAAGAAGGAAGGGGATGATTACCATTGCTTTGAGCTTGTCGTTTGGCACCCTTGGGATTCAGGAGCATCGCAGCATGAGACGCCATAATGTCTTATCTTTGATCGAAAAATCCGGGATAGGTTTTGGTCGGATTCAAGTCTGCGCGGTGCTGTGAAAGCGAACTGATGAAAGTTAGTTGATGAGAGAGGCAACAGGGGTGGTCATTCGTTTCACTTGCTGTTGATGGAAATACAGGGCCACGTTCCTTCGGAATGGAAAGCTTTACGTCCAAGCTCAAATTTGAGAAGTACTCGCAGCGGTCAGGTGGCGTGGGATGAGAGATTGTGATTTGCGATGGATTATCCGTCTGACTTGTCGTAGGTTTTGCTTGTGAGATCAGATCAACCAAGTCCAACGTTTTTGGGCCTTGGTATCAGGTATCGAATATCAACGTCGCAGCGGAGTGACGAAGGAAGTGGTTTGGTCGACAAAAGGTAGGTCTTCCAGACGCGAGAGTCGCGAAATCTCCGGCGTCATTGAAAGTGAGAGATATGGAAGAGAAGCGCGGGCAACAGTAGTTGCGCTCTTGTCTCAGTCACCGACTCATGTATCCCAGGAGAAGCCACGTCGTTTTCCTGGTCGCAATCCAGTCGGCGCCTCGTCGTTTGCCTCTCCGAAGGAATCGTGATTAGGCCGTCAGTAGCTCTTGTGTCGGTCGAGGGGGAGTGTCCTTGACCTCGAGTGTTTCAGTCGGGGGTCTTCAGAGTTTGCGACTTCTTTGCTCGAGTCAGTCGAACGCTCAGTCGTGTCGTTGGAAACTCGAAATGACGAAGTTGTTCCTCCACCGAAGTCGATGCCTCGGAGAAACCCGCCGATAAGGCCTTATCAGTGCGCGCGCTTACGGTCGTATTAGTGTGATGGAAACTTGGAAGCTTGGAAGTACTTGATAGAAGAAAGTTGAAGAGTTGAGTTCACTAAGCAAGTTGAAAATATGAGAGAGCAAAAAGTGTACATATATTGTATGCATCTAAACGCGTGACATGGATATATGAGGACCCGAGGTCTCCACTGCTTAGTTGCCCCCGGCCATTCTATATAGATTGTGGAGATTTATTGGATCTCGTGGCTTGACTTTTTTTTTTTTTTGTCTTTCCTCCTTCAATGATACTTTACTTAAGGGTATATGCTACATATGTAGTTATCCAAACATGAATTCAAATGTTGTCACGTTTATGGATTGCTTATCTGTTGGAGCCTAGCCCAGACGTGTTTGCGATGGCTAAAACGATGTCTCACAAAACAATGTCATGCAAGCAGTCAACGGAGTCTTACGAGGAGACGATTGCGTCAACCCCCGACTTTATTTTCGACACTATAAGATAGTATGTACTGACTTGACTGTGGAGCACCAGAAGCCGGTTATCCTATCACCCTAGGCTGGTTTAGGATTTATATCTTGTGACATACTCCAGGGTCACATGCCGCTACTAGCTAACCTGGTCAGCATAGTTGATCCAAACAGACGATGAAGGTATCATGGAATTAATTCTCGTCAATATTCTACACGAGGCAGATCGCCCAATCAATGCGCCACAGCCCAAGGCAACCCCAACAGCCAGAGAATGTCTATATACAAAAATTCCCAAATCATGAGCATGTCCAGCAAAGGACTCGTGTGAGATGTCACAGGAAAGAAAAAGGCATAGTCGGAATCGTGAACAGGAATTGAGAACCATTCCCCAAAGGACAGGATTCAACAAATACCCCGAAAAGACAACGCCGCAGAAGATAGCTGCAAATTAAATGGAAAAGAAGAAGAAGTAATGCAGGAATGTAGAAAGGTGAAAAGCGAAAAAGGTAGTATCGACACACTCTAACCTTAGCACCAGGTGAAAACAGGATTTTTGCTCTTGACGGCTTCCAGGCGCTCGACAATCACCTTGCGCTGGTTGCCTTCCATGCCCTCTGCAACGGCATAGCCAAGGTCACCTTCGAGGTCATCGCTGCCAAATGTGTTGACATTAGGAACGCGGAAGGGCATGGGACCACCGTTTTTGCGATGCTTGTGCTGGCGGGGAGGAAGTGAAGGCCATCCATCTAGAGAAGCTCCAGTGTTTCGGCCGCCGAAGTCATTTATGGTCGCAGGGCTACCGACAGAACCATCAGCACGTTCGCTGTCAGCGTCAGTTCGACCACGGGTGAGTTCGAACCGGTTTGGGTTGGGGAGGTCGCTTGGCGACGAACTCAATCCCAATAAATCGTGTTGGGGGATTGGTTGGGAAGATGCGGATGCACCAATATCCATCTCTTCTTCATCAGGGTCGTAATTCATAGATTGGTTCCTTTGCCTGTCCGTGGAAGGCGCGCGCATAGGAATAGCGACGGGGACGTCAACCAAGTCATCCCATACACAGACTCGGGTCCGTCGAGTCAGCTCAAGCGGGCCATGATCCGGTTGCTTCAATGTCTCCACCACATTCCAGGCTTGACCTTTCATGACAGCGATTTGGCGAGCGAACATGCTCTCTTTGAAATCATCATCTTGCGCAAAGATACCTCGCAAGGCCATCTGCGTACCGCTCCACCAGGCTGTGGATGTCAGCAATGGAAGGAAATGGTCGCGGGTTCTCTGCGAGAAGGGTTGTCCGATCAAGGAAACTGGCAGGAAAAGCCAACCAAAGGGGAAACTGCGCCACTACAAGTCGTTAGTGCTGGAAAGCTGTAATCACGGGGAATTCAAAAACTTACGGCGTCTGGGTGTTTCCATGGCCAGGACAGACTGTTGTCAATGGCACCAAGCTGGACAGAAGCAGACTGTTCCGAAGAGGCTAGTGGAGTTCCCGTGCGACTGATAGCCATCATGGTTTCATGTCGTTTGTAGGGGTGCGGGGAGGGGCTGGGGGTGCCATTCGAATTCACGGAAACAGGACGAGCTGGGGGCATAAGCTCGTCTTCATCGTGCTTAGGCTGTGGCCCAGTTTGTTTTGGGGGCTCTGCCACGATAGAAACCTGCTCTGTCCCCCAGTCAATCTTGACCATCCAGTTGTCTGAGCCTCGGTCGGTATTTCTCATGATATAATCTAGAATCACAAGTTTCTCCAACTCTTCGCGGAAGGATTGCTTGAGATTCTCGGTCCAGTAGAATCGGCGCTCGGCACTTTCGTCACGCGAACCGGCAGGCGAGGGCACATACCCCGGATCTTCGTCATCCTCGTCGTCTGACTGTGCCCCCGATGGACGACAGGCCTCGTTCCATGGTCGCTTCTTGCGCTTCGGGGCGTCCTCGGCGCGGAATCCAGTATTCGTCTGATCAGGCCAGGGATGTTCTCGGAGGAAAATGTTGGCGTCCTTGAATCCCTTGAGGAAGACTTGGAAACTGCCAGCCTTGGGAGGCAGAACTTTCTTGCCTTTCCATGCTTTTCTTCGATCCCAGAAATCGTAGAAGAACGATTTCGAGGACAGTCGGACAATACCGGTGTACGGAACAAGGTTCGTGTGCAGGCGGGCATCAAGAACGTATGCGGCGGCTTCGGAGACGTAGGATAGATTGGGAATAAGACACGCGCGTCCGAAAAAGCAGGGGAACAAGTTGCGGTGAATCCATTTTGTCCATTTAGGGTTTCGTGAAGCGTACGGCTCTTCGTCCTTTGGCTTGAACACGCCCACTACTTTCCCTTCAGGGTTTCGAGCAAAGTAGCTGCCCGAGCTTCCTTGTGAAATCATCCGAGGATGTACGTCCATTTCAATCGCAAGCCGCACACTTTCAATAATCTCCTCGTACTCGGCGCGAGCCCGCCGCTGCTGACCCTCAAACTCATCTGACTCGAGAGCCTCGGCGCTCACGGGGGTAACTCCGGGAGGCGCCTGGAAGACTGAATGGTAAATCTCCAGCTTCTCTTCCTCATAGCTTTTCCCCTTGACGCGGTTGATCTTGAATTTGGAGGCAATTTCGTCCGCCCATTTTTCGAGTCGCGCATTGATAGCCTTGATATCTACCCCGGAATTCCGACGACCTCGATGGAAACCACTGTGTCTGCGTCGATGGCCTGGGGGGGTGTGGAGACCGGACGCCTGCATCTGGGCTCTGGATGAGACGGGGGCGTATCGGGGAGCGGAGGTGGAAGCTACTGAGAACGCGCCGATATCGTCATCTTCGGAGTCATCGTGAAGATAGCCTCGTTCTTCTTCGGCCTGGGCGAGCCGGGCATATCCCGAGGTGGCAGGACGAGTCTTCGACATTGTGATTGAGGGTGATTTGATCTATGAAAGATGAAAACGACCAAGCTACCCGCAGGAAAAGGAGAGGAGGACCGGCAAAAGAACGAAAGGACACCAAAAGAGGTTACTCCATCACAGATAAGAGAATAGAAGGAAAAGACCGCTGGATAGAATAGAGAGTTGACAGAGTGAAGGCAGCTGAAATAAGTGTCACCTATGTCCACGGGTCCGGACGCCCAAGGGGGCGTCCTGAAAGTATGGTTACGGTTAATTTACAGGGGCGGTGGCGTAATGGGTGGGCAGTATGCACCAAATTGCGTGAGGTGGGCAGGTCCACTTTGTTAATAACCATAATACAATTACGCACCGCCACACTCTGTCTCCACCCCCTAAATCGAAAGGGGTCTTGATGGATGGATGCATCGAGTGTTATGTGTTAAGAGTCCTGAAACTGGCCAGAAACGCAATTGATCACCATATGGGTCCCCCTCTATGACGAATTGGGATATTCAGGGGATGGCAACTCCCATATATGTTGTATATGGTCAAATGTTGGTAGAATCCGCCACGCTGGCAAATATCCGCTCTGGTGCAGGGAATTTCATACGCATAAAACCCGTCTAGGAGTTGATCCCCCGTAAGCAAATCAGATACTGCAGAATGAACTGATTGTCACGCCTCCTGATATCAAGAGGTTGGGGGGCATAGAATGAAGAGGCAGAACAGAGCAGATTGAATTCAATACATTCTTTGCGAGAAAAGAAAACATCAAAAGTTGACGCCCCTGACATGCCGTATTAAATAATGGTTGATACTGGGGCAATCGTTATCCCGATTGTTATTATCGCGTCTTATCGTCCATCTCGATTCTGAATCTTCTTTCAACCCCTACCCTCACATATCCTCGGCCATCATGTTGTTAACTTAAGACTTCATTCTTTCTTATTGTTACTTCTTTATACAGAATAATTGTCGGGAAGCCTAATTCTCTCCCTTCTCTCCGGTATAGAGAATCATTGCTGGGGAATTCACATCAAATTGTTCACTAAGGAATTGCCTTGATACATACCCATTGAATCCGAGTCCAGTTCCAAGTCCATTGATCCCAATCGCATTCGTCGCGCAACTCAATTGACACCTACGGTTTCCCCTGCAATTCGGTCTAGGACCGGATTTAATCGACACCTACCTCTCCCCTCCACGGTGGCTTCCACCCTCTATCGGGCGTCGCCCATCGACCCGGCTCTCAAACCAGGTTCTTCACAAGAGCGTGAGTTCCCTTACGACTTGTCCGCCGACAGTTCTTCCCGTCACGCGTCCAACGGGTCCACACAGTTTTCTACAACACTACCGGATATCAAGAGTGTGACAAAACTTGGTTCAGGCGAGAGCGACGGATACCCAGGCTCTTCTGTTAGCACCTCGCTTCCTGGACTTGCAGCTCTGGCTTCGGTCGCTTCAGCACCAACCTCTAATCTTCGGTGCGTCCATACCCTACACTAATCCTAAATGGAAACCACTCGTGGACCTTTGGGCGATCTATCTTGTTTGCGTAAACTTCAATCTGGGCCCGGGAGAGCAGTAATCTGGGCCCCTCATAAGAATTCGAATCAATTGGCTAATCCATATATTTTCCCTTCCATTTTTTAGTTCATCTAGTGATGCGAGTATGAGTATGGCAAATATGACCTATGCTACATCATCACCGGCAGCTACGACAGGAGGACAAGGGAGTGGACCTGTAAGTGTGAAATACTTGGAACATATATGCCTTATATCGAGAAACTTGTTATCGCGCTGGAGGTCTTATCTCTGGGGAGTTATCGAAAGTCTTGGCGCCACTCGATCCGTGCACCCGCTTTTTCCCTTTCCTTATCGACTCAAATCTCTCACAATCTTATCATCCTCTTCTTCTTCCCAACTTCCATACCCTCATAATGGCGACCACATTGACTGACGATAAGCGACCTCAATTGCAGCCTGTTTGCCAGAATTGCGGCACCTCTACCACCCCCCCTGTGGCGTAGGGACGAACTCGGTTCAGTCCTTTGCAACGCATGTGGACTCTTCTTGAAACTGCATGGCCGACCTCGTCCGATAAGCTTGAAAACAGATGTTATCAAAAGTCGCAATCGCGTGAAGACCGGTCAGGGCCCTAAGCGCAAGGTGAGTTCGCGATCAAAAATTTTTCCTCGTCGTCCCCTGCCCCCAAATTCCACCTGTCTTAGATAAGAACATGCGCTTATCGAGATTGTGACTCGGTAGTCAGGCGGCCCTGTTGATACCAATGGTATCCCGCCACGATCTGAGGCCGGGACCCCTCCCCTTGGGTCGCATGGATACCGTCGCGCGTCGCGCAAGATGTCCTCGGGTCATTCGGATCGCTCGAACTCCCCCGTTTCCCGGACCGAGACACCTGGATTTGGCTCGATGAACGCGCACAACTCGAACATCGCGCCGCAGCACATGTTTGACAGCGTTACCCTGGGTGACAGCTTGAACTCTTCCAGCGGCCTCCCCTCCCGCCAGATGCGCCAACCTTCTCCCTCGGCAGTCGACCGCCAACTCGATTCTCCCACACATTCGAAAGTCTCCTGGCCCTCAACACATCCCTCAAGACACGCGTCAGTGAACTCGAGTTCGTTAACGAGCTCTTCCGCGGTCGCGTTACGGAACTCGAACAAAGTGACGCCAGCGCTCGTCGATCGGAGATGATTGTACGAGACTCCGAGGTTCGTCTGAGACGGTCTCTCGAGGATGCTCAGCGCCGCGAGGAGGACCTCAAGCGTCGTGTTAGCGATCTCGAACGCCAGCTTGGTTCTGGCAGCGCTGGCGATGCCGAGTCCGGCGAGCCGCTCGCAAAAAAGATCCGGCTGTCGGATGTTGTGGAATCTGGCGAGGATGTGCAGGTCAAATCTCCCAAGAGCGTTTAGGGTCTTGCAGTACCCTGCTGTTCCCGGCCCTTTCCCATCCTGCTTATTCATTCCATCATCGGTCCACGGGTAGTACAAGCTTATGAGCTACATTACGCTTGCTGGTCATCCTCCAACCTCTGATATTCTTGATACCCTTCATGGCTCCTTTGTCATCACTGGCTGGAACTTTGCCCCAAAAAAGCTACTATTGAACGGTCTCGATTTTTCTTCCTTTCTTATGTTCGGATGTTCCTCCAAACATCTTGTTTTAATTTGCTTTTTTTGCGGTGTTCTGTACGAAATCTTTCACTATGCTTCTAATACAATACTTGATCCCTGTCCTTCTCTTCTTCCAGAACTCGAGCGTCTGGAAGATCGATGGGTTGGTGATCCAACTGAGGAACGGCTTGTCGTCTGGGTGTTTTGCCTGGGATGTTTCTCTCAAAGTTCTAAATTGGTGCTTGCAATCATCTTTTTTTCCAGTTTGCTGCTTTGGTAGAGCTTGCAACCGTTTTTGATTGCTGAGGCCAGCTTTGACGGTTCTGCGGGCCGGGTTTTCTGTTTTTTGTTTGATTTAAACAAACGTTCTCGCTTTCTGCGTTGTGATATTCCACATGTATGTTAGGAGGGAAATGAAAGTGTCATGCAGAATCTTCAGCTTGTAGCAATCTTAAGATCTTCATACATGTATGCAAATACGGGAGGAAGATTGAAGCATACATGTATTCACGACTTAGATCAGAGCGAGGCCGAAAACTACTTCGACAACTCGAATACCTAATAGAACATGCATAAACTTGGAATCTTCAAATGTACAGTAATGAAATTGACCGGGTCCTGGCCCATGGAAGGATTATTTAAAGAAAGCAAGTCACACGCAAAGTACCAAGTCTATAGAGGAACAGTACACCACGGGTATACCATATGAGGACACCAACCCAATAACATCCATCATGAAATGTACTCTATGAGAAGTCATAAGAAACCGCAAAAATACCAAGGCAACTATGCAAGCAAGAAAGCAATTCATAAGCCCTGCCTGCCATGCAGGTACTACTGCACCTAGATGATCCAACTTGATGGGAAAAGCGCCATCAAACTTACGCGAGTCTGTGGTCCAGCTTCTTGCTCAAGACATTGTTAATGTTCCTCTCGCGGACAATGGCCCACAGACAAACAGCAATACCAAGCAAGCCGGAAACAAAAGTCATGAAATAGGCTGAGCGGTAGCAGCCCAGTCCATCGGGGCACTCGCGGTCGCCATCGTGACCGACTACAGAGTGTCCATCGTAGATGCTACCGTATAGCAAATTGAAAACGTTACCACTGAACACTGGGGCTAGAGTCATGACCCCCCAATTCTGGGACAGGCCCCCGATACCGAAAGTGTGAGCGGTTCAGGGAAGGGAAAACACCAAACAGGAAGCCGTAAGCAATTCCAGTGAAGCCGGAGACAACGATCAGGCTGTTCGGGTTGGAGATGGTCGTGCCGGCGAGCTGGGTCAGGGTGAAGACTACCGCTGACAAGAATAAACACCAGATGCGGGACATGCCGAGCTTCTTAACCAGAAGGTCAGAACCGATGCCGCTGAATAGACGGCCGAGGAAATTGCCGAATGAAAGAATGGATACGTGCATGACCTGGCGGTGTTGGATGAACAGGTCTGTTGCACTATCGTCGTAGTATAGCCACAGGGCCTTCACGCTGTTGCCGATGTTATTGATGGTCATCAAGCCGATACCGGACAAGAGTGCCATGGTCAAGAAGAGTTGCCAGAACTCGACTTTGCGGAGCATGGCGAGACCTCTGATGTCAGTTTGGTGCGCCTCCATGGCCACTTCATCTAGGAAGTCATCATCAAGTGTATCGAAAGAGGGACGCGGCCGGTCGTTCTTAGATACCAAGGTGGCAGTCTCATCGTTATTGGCGAATGCTCGGCCTTGGGAGTTCGAGGCAACTGAGTGCGACCGCGCATGCGCGGGGTACTGTTCGTTCTCGAAAGCGGCAGAGCCCTGTAGCACGGAGTCCTCTGGCACAGGCCGAAGGTCGCTGGATTCATGAGCGTTGTGCGGAACGGACGAGTATGGCTCGCTGGCGAGGATACGAAGGAACGGAATCGAGGCAAAGGACAGAATCGAGGTTCCGAGGGCTAGAAGCAAAAGAAAATGGCCGGTATCGTCCTTGAAAATGAGAGTCGACAGATTGGACCAGAATAGCGCGCTCAGTCCAAAGGCGGCCATTGGGAAAGCGGTTGCCGTGCCGCGGTGTTCGGGGAAGTTGGATGCCGCTAGAATCATTAGGTTAACCCTATCAAGTAGAGTCCTTGGTGTAACATACCTGTTTTAATGGAACCTCCAAAGGCAGAGCAACCGCCCATACCAGTAAGGAAAGCGAAGAGACATAGGAAAACAACCGGCATCGATCCTTGGCCATTATCATATGCTACAATTATTAGAGCTGCTTAATTCCGACAAGGTATAATCAAGACATACCCATATAGATTGGGAAGTAACCCAGGCCCAGGCAAATAGAGCCGATGAGCGCGACAAGCCGAGGACCGCGGGCATCTGTCAATAATCCCATTGGAATTCCCATAGCATACATCCCCAGGTTCCCCGCGACACCCTAGAGGTTGTTAAGATCGGTTTCCTGGCACCGGACATGGGATAACTTACAATAAAGTTGCTCTCTGTCGAAGAGAGCTTCATCCGTTGTGCGAATTGCGGCGCCCACGCGGAGTATGCATACTGACATTGAGTTAACCTTGATGGTTCTGAATGGGGATAAGACCGGAGATATCACGCACGTTAGTTCCGCATGAGAGGGCGACCAGCGTCCCCGCAATGACGGAAATAATCCGGGCAGTTCGGTGAAGAGAACCAGACATTATGTCGTTCCTCTGCGAGTGCTTCTGGTGGATATCTTGTGAGACAAGTGTTTTAGCGGCGGGAATGATTGGTTAGGCCCTAGACAGATGTGAGGCCGACACTGAGAGAAACATCGGACCCGAAATGAAGGACAGAAAGGGCGAAAAGAGCGACTTAAGTTATATATGTAGGGAGAATTGAGCGAAGAAGGCCGGGAGTTTTCAGGAGCGTAGACTTAGGTAAGGACTTGGAGATGATCCCGGAGGCCGCGTGGTCGGAACAACCGTCAAGCAAGCGCCAAGGAAAGTTTGCTCCACGTCAACTGATGTACAAATACGATGGAGAATTGAATTGATTTGTAAAAAGGGAAGGGAAAAAAAGAAGAGGAATGGAAATGTTGCAAGGGATATGTCTTAACTCCCACGTTGCATCGGTTGATAACACATCTCGAGATTATGAAAATCCGTCCAATCCGGAACTGCGCAAATCGGGACTCGTCATAGTTCGACTCCGCCAAAAGGTGTTTTCTCCATGATAAGGGATGTTAATATCAAATGCCTTTTAAGGCATCATTTAGTGCCTGATTTACTATCACGTTCCAAGTTAGTTGACTTCAAGTTGTATCCTCTGCCCTATAGTATCGATAATAATAAAAACATATTTTACAGGTTTCTAGGGCTTTGCTTTCATTAATTTCTTCCCCCGAATTCATTGTTTGAGTACATAGAGTGGTTTCCAGAATGATAGAGATAACCCAACCAGTTGCTTCTTCCTTTAATTAGGTCCTGATAGGCCGTGTACCTACATACATGTATGTAGGATGTACATGCGACATGGCTGTCCTCGATCTGTACATATCCTACCATCTCATATGACAACTATCTCTCATAGTTCATGCCTGAGCTTTGTTCTCTGTCTTAACATAATAAATCCTCAACAAAAGTTTTGTAGCACCCAGGAACAAGCTTAAATGCCATACTGAAAAAACTTGTTCCTTTAGAGTTCGTCTAATGCTATGAGAAATACAATCTTTTTGATGTCGAGGGTCATGCTGGATAGCGGGGGTGGAGAGTCTAAACCCAAATGGGCAGGACAAAAGAGGCTTGGCACGTGATATATTTTTGGCCTAGATATATTACGTAACATCCATGACGAAGGCGGCCTCAGGTGATGATCTTCAATCCGATCACTTGCCTCTCCGCACCACTCTCGATTCTGGATCTAGGTTCACTTCTAAGGTTGTACATTATAACCAGACCAGTGCGTTATACGATATCTGCACTCCCAAGATGGGTGCCCTCCTTTCCATCCCGCTTATGGCCGTGCCGAGTGTTGGTACAGTATGTTGTCGTCTACCACTTCCCTCGTTTCACAGATAGCTAACTTGCATTTCTCGCTCAACAGCTCTTGACGGTCGCGACATCATGCTGTGGAGCGGCGACATGCTCTGCGGTCTGCAGCGCTTGCGGAAAGTTTCAAAACAGGTACCATCTATCAGCTGCCTAGTGCGAAGAACCTCAGACTAACAAGGACAATAGTATGGCGACGAGAATCGCCTATGCCTTCATCCTTTTGATCAACTCCATAATATCCTGGATTATGCTCACACCATGGGCCCTGAAAAAACTGCAAAATTTGACACTGGATTATATGGAGATTCGTTGCGACGGGAAGGAATGTCATGGCTGGGTCGCGGTCCATCGTATCAACTTCGCCCTCGGCCTCTTCCATTTAATCTTGGCTCTTTTACTTCTCGGTGTTAAAAGCTCAAAAGATACTCGCGCTGCTCTCCAGAATGGATATTGGGGTCCGAAGGTCATCCTCTGGGTGGCCTTTGTCGTCATGTCATTCTTTATCCCCGAACCCTTCTTCTTCGTCTATGGCAACTACATCGCCTTCTTCTGCGCCATGCTCTTCCTGCTTTTGGGTTTGATTCTTCTGGTGGACCTTGCACATTCATGGGCCGAGCTCTGCTTGCAGAAGATCGAAGACAGCGACTCTCGTGTGTGGCGCGGCCTGCTCATTGGTTCGACCCTCGGCATGTACTTGGCATCTCTCGTTATGACCATATTGATGTACATCTTCTTCGCAAACAGCGGTTGCTCTATGAACCAGGCTGCTATTACCGTATGTATCCCTCTCACGAGGAATTTTGGTGCTCAACTGACTCGTCGCAGGTTAACTTGGTCGTGTTTTTGATCATCTCATTCGTTTCCGTTCAACCAGCAGTGCAAGAATCGAACTCTCGCGCAGGACTAGCTCAAGCCGCAATGGTCACTGTCTACTGCACCTACCTCACCATGTCTGCCGTTTCGATGGAACCGGATGATAATCACTGCAACCCCCTCATCCGGTCCCGCGGAACTAGAACCGCCACCATCGTTCTCGGTGCGATTGTCACTATGTTGACTATCGCGTACACCACCACACGCGCTGCCACTCAAGGAATTGCCTTGGGATCGAAGGGTGGTCACAGCTACATCCAGCTGGGTACGGATGACAACGAGCACGGTTTGGTGACCCAGCAACCAAACGCCCGTCGGGAGATGCGGGCTGAAGCTCTCCGGGCCGCTGTCGAGAGCGGCAGTCTTCCTGCCAGTGCCCTGGATGATAGTGATGACGAGGATGACTACGACACCGCGAAGGATGACGAGCGTGGTTCAACCCAGTACAATTACTCGCTTTTCCACATCATCTTCTTCCTCGCCACAACATGGGTGGCCACTTTGTTAGTCCAGGGACTAACACTGGAGACCACGACGGATTTCGCACCGGTGGGCCGCACATACTGGGCCAGCTGGGTGAAGATCGTTAGCTCCTGGGTCTGCTATGCTATCTATCTTTGGACTCTGGTTGCGCCTGTTGTAATGCCGGATCGCTTCGGTGTTTATTAGTTTTTCTTTCGTTGATGTTGCGCGTTAAGAGCGATATTGTTGCTCCTGATTGTCCATTTTGATTTATATCCATAATAGCAGTGCCATACAATTTGCAAGTGAATATATCCAGATCCATGTAGCGCAAATAAAACTGTCCTTGGGTAAAGTAGAACAGGGGCGTCATCGAAAGTATTGACGGCCCACCGTGGTCTTGGCAAATCCACGCGTTAAGTGAGACGCGTGCCAACCCGTAGACTTATCCTCCGCAGACATCATGGGATGAAGATGGCCACAATCCAAGCCATCGAGGCCCGCTCGGTATGAAATCCGATGTCTTTCCACGGAGCCTTTATCTGACCAGCGTATTAATCAGGTACACCAAATCCAATCGGGTCAAGTCATCGTTGACTTGTGCTCCGTCGCCAAAGAGCTTGTCGAAAACAGCCTGGACGCCGGCGCAACAACGATCGGTGGGTGAATGAAATTCCCGGATATGGTCTGTCACACATTTTCTGATGATTTCGAGGGGTTCAGAGGTCCGATTTAAGAATAATGGACTGGACCTAATTGAGGTCCAAGATAACGGCAGCGGGATTTCGCCGGAGAACTATGAGAACGTCGGTGAGCTACCACTTCTTCCTTGCCACATTGCGCTCAAGCTGATTCTCTATCTATCTTAGCGTTGAAACACTATACCTCCAAATTGTCGTCATACGATGACCTCTCGAGCTTGCACACCTTCGGTTTCCGAGGCGAAGCGATATCCTCCCTCTGCGCGTTAGCCGACTTCCACATCGTCACGGCCCAGGAAAAGCAAGTTCCCCGCGCGAACCGACTCGATTTTGAACAATCTGGGAAACTTCGGAAGACACAGATCGTGGCTGGTCAGAAAGGAACGACCGCATCAGTAGAAGGCATCTTCAAGCGGCTTCCAGTGCGTCGGCGAGAATTGGAGAAGAACATTAAGCGGGAATACGGGAAGGTTCTGAATCTGCTGCATGCCTATGCGTGCATTAGCACCGGAGTCCGGTTCAGCGTCAGGAACACTGTTGGCAAGACACGGAATGTGGTGGTCTTTTCTACAAATGGAAATAAGACTACCAAGGAGAATATTGCCAATGTGTATGGCGCGAAGACATTATCGGCCCTTATATCCCTTGATCTAGACCTGCAGTTTGAGCCTTCCGCAGCTACGAAGCGGGTTGGCGATGATCAACTGAGTAAAATCCAGGTCCGAGGCCATATCTCACGTCCTGTATTCGGCGAGGGCCGTCAGACTCCGGATCGTCAGATGTTCTTTGTCAACTCGCGGCCATGTGGCTTGCCGCAGATTCAGAAAGCTTTTAATGAAGTTTACAAGTCGTTCAATGTCTCCCAGTCCGCGTTTATCTTTGCGGACTTCCTGATGGATACAAACGCTTACGATGTCAACGTTTCGCCTGATAAGCGCCAAATTCTGCTTCATGACGCGGGGGCTATGATTGAATCGCTCAAAGTTTCTCTTGCGCAGCTCTTTGAAGATGCGGACCAAACTGTGCCGCAGTCATCGGTCAAATCTAAGCCCTTACCAAAACAGCAACCACTAGCATCACTCCCAGGATTCGTCACTGCTCGGGAGCTGAGCGAAAGCGGTGGGTTTAGAAATCCAAGTCAAGACCGGAGGAAAGAAAGCTCAGTTGAGACTCCGGGGGCTAGTCAACAGAGTGCGCTTCAGCGCTTCACGAGCTCAGAAGCGGGCATGGGAAGTGCGCAAGCCACTCCGTCTCCTGCTCGATCAATGAGAACACCCCGCGCTACGACCAATCGCTCTTTGATGTCGACGCCAGCCCCAAGTGAGCTAGAAACCCCTACTGCGGCGATCTCTGACGATGAACTTTTCGTCCAAGGAGGCACCCAGGAGGAGCCTGAGCCAACCGTTGTCTCCGACGAACCATCATCCCAGCCACCGGTCCCCGACGAGACTCCATCCCGCACTCGTGGAGACCCAGAAGAAACCCCCAACGTTGTCCAAAATGCCTTTGATAGAATGCGTCCACGACGAGAACCCGCTGAACTGGCTACCATCACTATCGGAAACCGAACCATAACGTCCATGGTCGGTAGTGGTCCTCCACGGAAACGAGTCTCACCAGATCCGCCTCTAATGAAAGAGCCGCCCCGGCGGAAGAGACGGATACACACACCATCACGGCCTAATATCTTCGGTGAACATATGAAAGCGTTTGCTGCGCCTGGGTCGCAGCCGCATGAAGCGGCTGCAGCAGAAGATGATGAAGATGAAGACGAAGAGGCATCCGCTAGCGAGGGTGGCCAGGTTGAAGAAGATGGAAGTAACATTTTGAGTGAGATTGAGGACACACAAGGTGCCCAGCAAGAGGCTGAAGACGAGGGCTCTCCACTCGAGGATGCCGACTCTGTTCCCGACCAAGGTGCAAGTCAATTAGAAACTGAAAACACTGAGGCAAAAGACAAAGACACTGGCGCAGATGAGAATCTCAATGAAGCTCAGAAGAAGGCGCAGGAAGAAGCTACAGTCCAGCGGCTCATTCATGAAGCTGAGGAGACTGCTATGCTTCCCCAAGAAAACAGCGCGAAACGTGCGAAGAAGATGAGCAAGGGTGCTGCACATCGCGACGCAACTATACAACTTGTCGGCACGGTAGACGGGTCTATATCACGTCTCCAATCTCAATTCATCACATTGCAAAAGACCCTGCAAGCGGGCATGAAGAAGACGAAAGAGGAAGCAACTGATCTTGGCGAGAAAACCGCCGAGGACAAACTTTCCTTGACTGTAAACAAGAACGATTTCGCCCAAATGCGCATTATCGGCCAGTTCAACTTGGGCTTCATCATTGCAGTCCGCCCAGGAGAAGACCACGACGAGCTCTTCATCATCGACCAGCATGCCTCTGATGAGAAGTTCAATTTCGAGCGCCTGCAAGCTGAAACTGTGGTTCAAAACCAGCGACTCGTCCGTCCGCAACGCCTCGATCTCACTGCCGTTGAAGAAGAGGTTGTCCTTGAGAATCGTGCCGCCCTTGAGAAAAATGGCTTCCTCGTGACTGTCGACGAAAGTGGCGATGAGCCTATCGGCCGTCGATGTCAACTGGTCTCGTTACCGCTGAGCAAGGAAGTGGTATTCGGCGTACGCGATCTGGAGGAACTCATCGTGTTGCTGTCAGAGTCAATTTCAACGTCAAACGAACTGTCAGTACCACGACCAAGCAAAGTGCGTAAAATGTTTGCTATGCGCGCTTGTCGCTCAAGTATCATGATTGGGAAGACCTTGACGAGCCGACAGATGGAACGAGTCGTTCAAAACATGGGTACTATCGATAAACCGTGGAATTGCCCGCATGGTCGGCCGACCATGCGTCACTTGATGAGTCTGGGCCAGTGGGATGAATGGAATGAATTTGAGGAGAGCGAAGGACTCGACCCTTGGAAACAATACTTGGAAGAAGAAGAAGACGAAGAAGATGAAGAAGCCGAAGAATAGTCCATAACGATACCCTGTGCGTGATATAGATGTATAACAAGAACAAACCAAATGAACAAAGACACGAACCATCACCACCATCGCAACCACCCTTTCGCCGGCTGATCCAGTTTCTTCCCATTAGCATCAATATCAACATGCCCATTTTGCCCATTTGCATTGCCATTCTCCAAATCCTCATTCAGTTCCGCATCGCCATCTCCCCGCTCATCGCCATTCTCACTCTCATGATCCCTCTCAACAACATCCATCATATCCTCTAGGGCCAGCAAATCACGCTCAATCATCTCCGCCCAATTCTGCACATCCCCAATCTCCTTTAAACCGTCGCGCGTCTCATCCGCGAATCCAACCCACTGCTGGTTCTGCCGCGCTAATCGCTGCGTATTCTCCGCTAGCTCGGCTTCTTGACTTTCCAGCACAGCCGCGTTGGATTGAATGTTTGCTGCGCGGTCGCGAAGCGGCGCTTCGAGATTCGTTCCAACGGAGTGAAGCGTGGCGGTGAAGGCTGCCAGCGCTTCTTTTTGTCGTTGGTCGTCTGTTGTGTTTGCTGGGTCTGCGGTTGGATTTGGGTTTGGGTTGGATTGCGGGGTGGGGTTATCCATGGTTCTTGGCTGTTTATTTGGTTCGGATTTTGGTGGGTTTGTATGTGATGATATTTGGGGAGACGATCCAGAGATAACTTGCCTAGGATCTATTGCTCTCTTAGTCTCTTTGTACTCTTTGGGTCTCTGATTATGATATACAAAATCCGTAAACAAAAGATCGACAACCCCACCCGGCACATGTCATCTCTGCTGGCATCCGTTCCCCGCCCTACGCGGGAATTTGTCGATCAGTGTGTCTGATCACTGTCTTGATCTTGAAGACTGTAACTTTCAGTTCCTTGGTAATGCTTAGCTTACGAAGAGGGTGTGTATTTACTTAATATACCACGATCAAAATTGTACAGTCTTAAGAGGAAGAAAAAGTATGCCTTGGTTCAGATGGCCAGGAAGTCGGGGTTCCAGATTACAGCGTGCAAAATACAATGATAGAGGAACCTTGGAAATAAATCATAGGTCCGTATGTCAGTAGGGTTCTGTTCGGAGAGACATGGCGAAAGTCGCCTCTTGACCTTAGCTGCTGTTCCCTAGTTCCATATTGATAGATTCGCCGAAGTTGCCTTCTTAGGCTTCTCCTAGCACCAGTGTAATAACTTCACTAGCCCAGGTTGCATTTCCACTGATCAGCGTAGGCTCCCTCTCCTCTTTAAGCGAAGCCGATGGAGACTTCGAGTCCCGAGAAGTCGCCAGCGAAATTGTCGAACGGAAGTGATCTGGGGAAAACAGATAGCTGTGCTTGAAGTGACATATTTCCGTAAGATGCGTCTTTGTGACTGGTCTTCACTGTCATTGGGTGGAACCAGGACCATCTGCTTTGCTATAATCCCATGCAGATCGTAGTCAGAGCTGCATAAACTTGCACATGTGGTGAGCTTCGGGAAACCGGAAGAGATGTCTTTATAAACGTGCGTAGTATCCCTGTAATTTTCCTGCTGATTACATATGTACTCGTCTCACGCTGTTGACGTGGATGAAACATACAGAGATAGCGCTCCTTCATGTGCACAGCAGTATTCTGATAGTACCCCCGACTGCAATAGTTCTCTTCTATTCCATGACAGCGAGTTATTGGAGAGATGTCTCATTTTATGACTGAACAGCTATTGATTCAGTCCCTACGATGTCCACCCAGATATTCCTGTAGCTACAGCTCCTGTAGACAAATTCCGGGGCACTCTGGGGTCCTAGTTGGGAGAAGTGTCTCGTTTTATGGTTATATTATAATAGGACAACCTGAGGAGGTTGAGAGCAAACGTTGTTTACTTGAATCAGCTGATGTGTAGCTAGGTACCTTCCTTGGTTGGATCATCCCAATTAGGCTTAGTAGTATTCTTTGTTTCCTTCCAAGGTTTGTTCTCTTTGTTTTATGGGGAATAAAAGTGGGTTCCTTCCCGATTAGTCCAAATCGAAGTCGCATCAATAGCAGAGTCAGCACTTGAGCTGTCACGTCGCGCCCCCAAATAAAAGCCTCCCATCCAGGCTTTTCAGACTTCCTCCTCTCAACCACCTTCATCATAAGCTTCCCAGGTCTACAAATCTGGTACAGCTTCCCTGATTGTGTTGAGGTGTGGTATAAGTGAGTAACACACTCTCTCCTCAGTCAAGATGATCTGCTAAAAATCGACAGCTTAGTAGATATCCCTATGGGAGACACTGCAGGGTCTCCTATACATATCGAACAGGTACCGTACGTTTTCCACTCGCAGGATCTCAACATAAGTTTTGACAAGTCTAACTCGTGCTTTTTCTTGATTAGAGCCTTCGTCGGAAATCCAAAGCCGGGTCGCCCACCTCGGCAATGGTTGTATGTTCTCCTGTTAGCAACAATATTTTCCCCGTCACTGACTTGTCACCCATCAGGACCTTCGTTGGATCGCGGCAATGTATGTACCTGCGCTGAGCGTCGACTTTCTTTGATTGTCCTGTCAGCCTTGGTGATGTTGGGGTGAGTTCTCCAGCCAGTGGCATTTTACCATATCTAACCACACTATCCTTTTATTAGAATCATTGCCGCAATTTCCCGGACCAAGTCCGCAATCCTCCTTCGGAGGCGTGCTGTAATTCTTGGGGAGGCAGATGGGATCCCCGCAAGTCCCATCGATCCATGGGGGTTTGGAAGCCAGCCGAGGCGGAGCAAGGGCGGTCACTTCGTCTTGTTGGGGGCATCCGGGACGCAAGTCCAAGGTACGTTCTTCCCTGCCTGTGGGCTTTCATCATTTCTAACCTGTGCTCTTCTTTCATCAGAACTTTCGTGGGAAGGCCTGAAGTCAGACTGGGCGTGCACGATCCCAGTTTAGGCGGGTCGGCTAAACTCCAGGTGAGCCTCCCTCCCCTGTTTGTTTTCGTCACTAACATTGTGTTATTTCTGATCAGTGCATTCAACGGAGTTTTTGGCATTACACACTGTGTGATTCCCCTTGCAACTGGCCATGCAATCCCGCTTTTCCTTTTCGGGAAAGGCGAAGAAACAAGATGGAGCTCCAACCCCTGCGGTATACTCGCTTGGCCTTCGGGCCAGGCATACATGTGCTGCTTTCGGGCATATATGTGTGGCCTTCGACCGGTATACTTGCTTGCCTTCCGGGCCGGGCATACTTGTTCTGCGTTTTGCTTTCGGGCATACAACCCCGCTCTTTTTCGAAAAAGCGGAGAAACAAGTCGGAGCTCCCTTGCGGTTACCTTGTTTGGCCTTCGGGCACCTTTCTGTGGGCAGCGCGATCTTTTCTGTGGGCAGTCGGATTACCTGTGGGCTGTGGGATTTCCAATAAAGCAAAGGAGCTATTGGTCTGTTGCTGTGTACAAGATCCAAAGAGAGATACCTTTGGGTCAGTATACTCAGAAGGGCCATAGAACAAAACTTCCATTACATCACTGATCGGAGTGGGCTGAATATTCTACAGAATATTTGCCTGGTATTCTCTTGGTCATTGACGTACCTGGAAACATTTATCGTAATCAAACAAGATTAGGTACCTAGGTAGCAATTTTTGGATGAGTGTTTATTTGAATTCATGAGACTTTGGATGTTGCAACTACAACCCGTGGACCTCTACCCAGGTGAACCACAATACTGATCAATGGCTGAAGTCCAACCTTGGAAGAAAAATATCGTGGCATAATGGATATCTTACTGTGCGATTAATTGGTAGTATATTTAGAGCATGAGAAATGCTATTGGGATGAGATACCCGGCTCCGCCATGAAGATATTCTTCTTCTAGCTCTCAACCGCCCTTGCCATCCCGATCAACACTTCCAGCCATTCAGTCTCCTGCTCTGTAAACTCCTTTGCCACAGAATTTGACAAGCAACAGAGATTGCTCTCCTCTAGTTGCCACGCCGCTGGATGCAATGATTCACTCGGCTCCTCCATAAACATCTCAAAACTCCCAATGGTCCGTTGGCTCTCCGCATACTTGTTCTCATACAGCCAGCCATTAAACCACAGAGGGCGCTTCTCACGATCCAAATGGAGAAGCTGGGGGGCACAGATTGTGATGTCGGACTCATGACCATGCGCCATTTTACGTCCTTCTTTCGTTGAGATAACCCCATTTCCCGTGCCAGTAGTCGATTCAGGCTGTTGACTAGTGGAGGTGAAGTTATTAGGGGTTTGTACTACGCCCATGACTCCAGATCCACCCGGGTGGAAGGCGTAGGAAGTGTCACCAGCAAGCTCCCATCCAAGCCAAAAAGTTTCTTTATCACCTGCGTGGCTCCAAGGGTTAGCAGATAAAAAGGAGGCGTGGGAAAATATGTACCGGGCAATACGAACCATAGACCATATCATAAGTCCCTACAATGCCAGCCCCGTTACCATCCCTATCTGGCCCATTCATTCTACATACGAGTAACAATGCGACAAAGTGCATCCACTTGTCCACAACAACAACTCCCGATTCTTGTACATGTCCGCTCTCCCCAGTCCACATTCTGCTCTCTTGCACGGATCTCGAAATTGGCTTTGGCAAAATCTTCTGTAGCCATTCCTTCTTACTTTCTGGAAGGATATTTCTATCTTTGAAGAAAAGGGCGCCCGTGCGCACATAATCCGGGTCATTAAATAGCAACTCGGGGTTAACGAAAAACAGCGAGTCCGCATCAATGAAAATGACTTCACGGAAAGACGAGAAGAGTATAGAGAAGGGCTTACCAGCCCATCCGTTCACCCGCCAACCTTCGTCGTTAAGCATTGCAGAGAGGTCACGAGTTGTGACGCCAGGTAGCGCATCAAGCTTCGTGCGGAAGTCTTTACTCAAATCGCTTTCGCCGAGATACATTACTTCGACGGGAAGATCGCAACCCAGGAGGCGAAAGGAAGGGATGGCAGCCAGTAGAAAAGGCGCATGGTTATTACCCGCTGTTGTCACGATGCCGCGGCCTCCATGGCGCGATGAGACGTGCAAACTCATATGGTCTGCAAAGTATGGGCTCGTCCATGGAAACAATAGCGCGGAGAATTTGGTGAGAAAGTGCCGGTAGTATTCGTATTTGTGCAGCGCATCAGGGAAGGTTGGCGCGCTGAACCTGTCGCGGATACGGGGGACGATATCATCTCGCACGTAGGTACGGTCATCTTGATTGACGATGTGGACATTCTCCCAGGCCTCGAAGAACTTTTTATATGCACGTGTGCGCAGGCCAAGCTCATGCAGCTTCTCCTCGCCTGTTCCGATTACTGGCCACAGGAACTTTCGAAGGTATAGCTCGCTGGGTATTGTTGATAGAAGGTAGTCAAGAGCGGCGTTAAAGGAATCAGGCTCTGGACTCTTTGGATTCGTGTCCTTAATTGCACTTCCGGCATTATTTGAGGATGATTGTGGTGACTCCGGGTCTTTGCTTGCGGAGTTTACATTTTCCTGCGACCCTGTTGGATTTTCCACAACGGGTTTTCCATCTAGCTCGCCTTGCGACGTGGCATCATGTACCGGTAATTCCGAGGTCTTGGTATCAGTGGGCCAGATTTGCCAAAGCCTGTCAGTGACGAGGGTGGAAGTCGATCGCACACTCTCTGCGTCTGAAGCAGGCGACTTAAGTAGCAGAAATGATATTATCAACCAGCCAGCTACTATAACAAAAATGAAGCGAGTGATCCGCAGAAGCATGCGGTTTTGTCGTGTTTTGGCTTTGGGCCTTGGATATGACGCCGGGACTCGGCCTTCTTTGGGTGGAGTTGAGTGATAAGGTAGCATGATTGAATAGTGGGCGACAGTGTAAGATGAGATTTAATTACTTTTAATAGGAGCGCCATTTTACGAAGTGGACATCTGAAGAAACAAAAGTGTTAGGGAAACGGAAATAGGCCCGTGGCCAACTCTGACGCTGACCGTTGTCCTTTTGGGGATTTTTGACCTACCAAGGTCTTCCAGTACTTTGTTCTTGCTTTGAATGAATAGTGCAGCTAGCCCTTCACTAAAACTAATTAATACTAGAGGACTATAAGAATATAATTGTCTAGGAATGTTCACATTTTCTATAACATCCGACCCCGGGCGCTTTTTCACGGGCCGGGCCGGTATCCCAGACCCTTCGTAGACGAAAATGAAGGGGAAAAAAAGAGGTCAGCATTAGTATATGCGAATATAGAGAACCTTCGAAAGTACAAATATTCACGTCTTCCATAGTGCCAGGGTTTGTTTCCCTTCCTAGGCCAGCCTCGCCCTGTCTACCTCCTGCTGGGTAGTCAAGCCAACAACAACTGAAGACTCTCTAATATCGCCCGACATGAAGATATCGAAAGGACCATACAAAGTCACCTACAAGAACCCTTTCTGGTCGGTTCTAGCAGGGAAATACTTGCCATTTAGATACGTCATCCACTCGGGAGTACACTGGACGGGCCTAGCTCTACTAGAAATACCACCCAAAGCCGGAGCCCAGAGAGTATTGTTCTTGTTACCTTCATAGTGGCTGATTTCACTTTTCACCAAGTCAGGGTTCGTAACGTAAGGCTAGACCAGACCCTCGAGATGCCCATTCTCGCGCTTCGAGGCGTACAAACTCGAGAATCCTAGAATTACCATTGCGCCAGGCAGGCTCCTGTTATGGAAGAAGCTGTTGGATTATAAATAATTCAAAATTTGGGGCAGATGTCTATGTTCATATCGGAATATTCTACTGACTAATATAATATCCCAGCCGTTTGTACCTTGTGTAGAGCACCCGTGGACCATATTGGCTACAATATATAATCCATTCACCACATGAATATGAGCACCGAATACTACGTACAATCACTGGGCTTCAAGACGAGGCTTACAATTCCAATTTTTTTTTAAAAAAATTTTGCGCGTCATATACAGAGTACAACTTGCATCAGTCTCCTGGTCCACCTTGACGTTAGGCGGATTAATCCGCAGCCGAGGTCAGTCCCTGTCAACGCCGATCACTCCATTCCGTGCACGATCTGCAATTCGTCAAATGCCATCGTGCTAATCACGTATTCAGTACGAGAAGTACAAGGTCCTATCCCCCCTTTTTTGGGGCAAGCCGATTACCCATTGAAGCTCTTGATTGGCCACTCTTTGACTCCTTTCGCTACCCCAACACCCCAGTTTTCTCGTCTCGAGCCTCGCCTTCCGACATTTATATACCGAACGTTGGCCCTTGAACTGGCAGCAACTTCGTTGATCCCGGAAGTAATATTATGATGTCAGTTACTGGGGTCGTGCAAAGGCATTCTCTCGTTTTGGATCAGAATTCGCAGCTCAGTTAGACATGGAAAATGAAACATCTGCCATGTGAAAGGCGGGTCTGATCGACACTGAGTACAACCATAACAGAATTCTAAGCGACGATGCTACGATTAGTTTATGAAATTGATACAAGCCCCATGATAAGTTCCTCTCGACCTGCTTCTACCTCTACACAGCTACAGCATGGGAAGCAGTTGTCACACTGCCATATACCAGACTTTCACCATCCATGACTTGGGCTAAAAGCAAAACATTCGGCACCTCAACATCCTTGCGCCCCTCATGTCAAAATCTGACGTCTCAAGTAAATCCGAGGTGGATGAGGCACTGCCAGCCCCAGCAAAGCCGACCTTATGGCACCGATTCAAGGAACATATGAAGAGATTCTGGTGGGCTTATTTGGTCTCATTCTGCATCTCTGTACTCGTCATCATTCTCCCGCTGTGAGATTCATCATGGAAGCTTATAACTACCTGTACTAAACATTTCTCAGCTTTTATGTTGGAATTCCCAATCTCGCCAACGACTATATCGATAAGTACGAGTACGACTATGACGGCCTCGAGATTACCAACCCCAGCCTACTGCCTTCCATATTAAACAAACTCAAAGCCTTCGAATGGGAGGTGGGTTTAGTGGTAGTGGTCATATGACTGCATTCAACGCCACGTGTCGTCTGAAAGACACCGATGAGGTTTTGACAGTATTCCCTGTGCCAAATATCGCATTTGGCAACGGAGCCACCCTTGAAATAGACCAAGATTTGGACTTGTCTTGTGTCGACTGTCTGTCGCAATTGGCCTCTGCAGCTGCATCTAACAAGAGCTCTTCCATTTTGGTGGAAGGTTCGCCAGATTTGAAACTTGGTGCTCTGCCTACTGCACATTTGGACATTCATAAAACCATGAACGTGGCCAGTGAGTGAGTCCCTTTCCTACCTATCCATGAGACAAGCTAACGAGGTTGAATTAGGTTATAATGTCACAGGTGAGCCATGCCGTACTAAATAAATTTCCCACTGGGAGTAAATCTTTCTAAGCTTTGCAGACTTCATCAATGCCGAGGGCGCATTCAACGTCACCAGCATAGAACTCCTGGATCCTCCTATTGATGGATATAACTTCAATGCCACGATCTCCGTGCGCAACCCAAGTCCCTTCATTGTTGAGCTGGTATGTTAATTCATCCCATGCACTGGGAGATGAGTATGGCTGATAGGTTTAGGGACATGTAACTTTCAATCTTACTCTAGGTGACTCAGACTTGGGCTGGGTCGATTTGCCCTATCTCTTTTTGCAAAAGGAGATTATTAGCACAGTGGTCCGTGGTTCGGTTGACAAACAAATGTTAATCCGCGAGGCCATTTCGGGTGACAATGAGGTTGGCATTGTGACTATTGGCGTTCATGGGAGAAGCTGTTCTTTTAAGGGCGTCGACATCCCATATTTCACAGCCGCTGTCAAGGCTATGTCTGCGTCGGCAAGAATCGATCTATTAGAATACGCATCGAGTCTATTTTCTTGATGTAGTATAAGTATGGTTGTGAGTATTGGGGAATAAGCTTTCGAGATTAAGAGGGGATCATGTTATGGGCCAAGAATATAGAACTACAGGTGAATTCCTCAGATATGTATGTCAAAAGATTAGGGCATTTTCACCGCAAGCGACACAAAGATAGGTACTCGACTGCCAGTAGCCAAGACACTTGGATAAAATGGGAAATCGACGTGCCGACCCTCCATTTCTATAAAAAGAGTCCTACGAAATATGTGCACAAAATAACAGGAACCACGAAAGCCAAGGCTCCAAAAACAAGCATATTTCTTACTGCTCGCCTATGATGAGCCTCCATTGTCTTGGCAATTCGTTCCGCCCATGCCTTTGGAGGATTACCATTGGGAAACGGAATGTCGGGCACTGGCTTGCTCAGGAACCGACAAAGAGGCTCCCAGCCGTCTTCAACAGACCACTCGAGAAGCCGATCCTCCGGTAAACCTAGGCCTCTGACCATTGCAACATGCTGCTCATAAACCCACTTCCCGTTCGATTGGAAACTCCCTCTGAAGAACCGGGGCATCATGGTCCTCGACATTGTTTGGCGGATCCAGAAAAGATCTGCGCTGAACCAAGATTTGCACCAATCCCAATCAATAGGATTTCTGTCGAAATATCCCATCGTGCTTTGCATGCTACGATACCAGCTGTCAAGATCCTTGCGGACATTGAGAATGACTTTCGCGTTGGGGTAGGCTTCGATGAGTTCGGCCGCGAATTCTGCCGCGAATAAATCGCTGACACCCACGCTGTTCAGTAGAATTGAGTCGAAATTTTTCGCTGTCAACTTTTTGGACCCGTCAGCTTCTGGGGCTGTGGTGTATTTCTTCTGTAAAAGCCGGTATATCCCTTCCAGAGATGAAGGGGAAGAATGGTGTCAAAACCATGGTGTGTATGGTTAAATCCTAAGATATGTAATGCCTCGCGGAGGCTATCGGTTCCGCTTCGTGAGATCCCGACGGCCAACACCTGCATTGGCTCTTTGCGTGCACCGCTAGTCGGGGTAGGGAGCCCATAGATGGAATGAAGAAGTCGGTCGATCAGGGTCATTTTTAAGCGGCGAGCTGGACTGGGACAAGACAGTTTCGACCAAAACAGATAGCTGTAAGGAAAGGCCGGAGGGATGTCTTATATTGATGTTGCTGATGTGAGGCGCAAGATGAAACCTATTTCGGACTAGCGGTATGCGCCGAGTTCGTAGCCGAGCCTCGATGACGCAGTCAGGTGTTCTTTATTTGGTTGTGGGCAGGTTTTGGGCGGAAGTTTCCATTTATATTCTTTAAAGGGCTAGTAGTGTTTTCAGTTATGTATTTCCTCGTCTTCTAGGTACATGATCAATTTCAGAGCCTTGATCTCGAAAATTATAATGATTCAGCTTGACGCTCTATTCTCAAATGCAGATGAGCAAAGGCTCGACAGTCATTGAGTGTCCTGTCGAATACTACTTCTGCCTCCAGCGCTGAAAGGAGAAATATCTTAGTCGCTGCTACTTCGCTTGGAGCAACAATCAGGAATCTGGACCTATGCAGATTTTGCATTGCGCTTATTATGGCATAACAAAGACTTGAACGAGTCAACTATACAAGTCTCATCCGTAATTCCTTATCAAGTCTATCCCTGTTCAAACCACAAAGAATGAATGACACCCCTGAAAGAGACAAAGAACACAAGGGAAGTCTTTATGACTCGTATTGTTGCTTCTATCACATTATCCTCATTTTACCCCAATAATCATGTTCCTTTAGTGGAAATTGCATAAATAGACTCGTTCCCATCCTCAAGGATCATCAACATCATTCGACATCTCTGAATCAGCTACAACTCCGTCGCCCATTACGAGCTGGCCCCACAAAAGACCTATAATTTCCTGCTTAGGTTTTGTCAGAGAGTACCCATTTATCACTATGCTCGTGACGTCAGGAAATGCCGAACACCAGTTTCTGCGCGCACGCGAGCAGTTCATAGCTGGCATACAGATCGAGATTGACGCCATTATGGCCCGCAGTGGGATTTCACCCTTCCGTCTGGCGCTGGCTGCTGACAACCTTGCCGACCTCATTGACCAGGTACGTGTCATTGAGCGGGCTAGTCTCACTATGTACAGGGAGATGCCAAGATGCCGTACTGTGCTGAATGGATGTGGCTACTACGGACACAAATCCGAATTTCTAGTGAAAGCTCGCAAGCTTCGAGGCCATTTGATTGTGCTTCAAGATAACCTCATGCCTCGATATTCCGACCGGCATTGGATTGCCCGTCAGATCGAGGCTGTGGATCGGTACTTGGACCTTTAGATATATGTCAATTCATTATCTCAAAATCTTTTGCACTTGAATGCACCATTTCTTTGTATTATTGTAGTCAGTAGTAGCTTGTAGTGGGACCCACAATGTCGGCAAGTAGGCGTTGCTTTGATCTCGACCAGGAAACTGTCCCGTTAAATGTCAGATGCCAGAGCTTTGCAATGCTGGAGAATAGTACGAAAGAAATCTCAAGTATACCTATCCTGTCTAGCCGGCTCGACTACTTATCTATCCATAAAGCAAGTGTAATGAATCTCGTTTTCTTTCAAGCGCATACACTTGGTCCGCCTAGGTCGCTAGGTACTTGCAGTAAATTCATGTATTATGATTACACTAGGCTAATATAAATTGTTGTAAAAAGGAAAAGGAAAAAAGGAAAAAAGGAAAAAAGAACGCGCATAATGCAGCTGAGCTGGCCCGATAGGTTAAGATCGCCAGTGCTAGGGCGCATCAATAGACCGCGTTAACAACGGCACCGAGTCTCGGGATCTCCGAAACCCAGAATCTGCCGTGGTCATCACAAGGTGTCAGTGGCGTTCAGATTATCCCTGTCCCTCCAGCCGGACAAGGATTTGTCGGCATGTGGGGAAGACCCCGCGGGGATATATCGCGCTAGTCCTATTTCGTCCCGTGGGTGAAGATCAATGGCGGCCCCGGGTTTGCATTAAACCGAACAGTCAATCCCTCTCGGGCAAGATTGGTCCGAGATGCCATGGGGTTTGAAATGGTTGAATGAGTGGAGGAAAGGACCTGGGGCCCCAGATCTCAACATCTCTCTAACTTTCCATCGACCTAAGCACAATATGGTCTTGCGCGGAAGATACCTACACTGGGCTGTGACAGCTGCAAGCTGTCAAGCCTTTCTTCTCCTGGGATATGACCAGGGAGTTATGAGCGGCCTGATTGGCGCGAACAATCAATTTGGACAAACCTTCAACAACCCTGACAGCACGATGCAAGGCCTCCTTACTTCGATCTACGATATCGGTTGTGCAGTCGGATGTCTCCTCAGTCTCGTTATCGGCCATAAATTCGGTCGCCGCAAGATGATTATCGCTGGTGGTTCAATCATGATTATAGGAACAATTATCCTTGGCAGCTCCTATACCGTTCCACAATTCCTCGTCGGTCGAATTGTCACTGGCATTGGCAACGGAATCAACAGCAGTACCGTTCCAGCCTACCAATCCGAGTTAGCGCGCCCAGAGCAGCGTGGCATGTTACTCTCTGCCCAGGGCACTGTTACAATTCTCGGTCTCTGTATTGCATACTGGCTGGACTATGGACTGAGCTTCGTGGACACGCCCGTTCAATGGCGGTTCCCAATCAGTTTCCAGGCTTTCTTTGCCATCTTCTTGGTTTTACAGATGATTCCCCTGCCCGACTCACCACGCTGGCTCTGTGAACAAGACCGCAGTGACGAGGCGGCGTCGGTCTTGGCACGTCTTCAACTGGATCAGCCCGCTAATGAGTCCAGTCCTGAGGTTGTTCATCTTCGTCATCAAATTGAATCGTCTATCGAGATTGAGTCTGCTGGCGGACCCTTCAAATACAAGGAGCTCTGGTCGGGTGGCCAGATGGGCAATCTTCGTCGCATGATCTTGGCTGCAGTTGTTAATATCCAGCAGCAGTTTACAGGTAAGCAACACCAGTTCGGATGCTTAACAGGTCAATATTGGCATACTGACGTATCTTAGGCTCAAATATGATCAATTACTATGCCCCCCATTGTCTACCAGGTAGCTTCCTATGCCCATCTCCAGCTGGACAGATAAGCTAATATCCCAAAACAGAATGCCATGAATCTATCTCGCAATTTGTCATTGGTTCTCGGTGGCTGCACCTCTCTCGCGTACCTTGTTGGCTCTGTCATCCCCTTGTGGAGTATGGACAAATTCGGTCGACGGGTATCACTCATGGTCTCCGCGGCTGGTCTCTGTTTCTGTTTCGTGATGACTTCTATTCTATTGTCGACTGGCACTGCGCCGTGTGCATATGCAGCTACCGTGTTTGTCTTCATATTCCAGTTGTTCCTCGGCATTGGTTATCTGCCAGTTCCCTGGTTAGTTACTGCCTATCTTGGTCGCGATTGCCTGTCAAGCTAACAACCAACCAGGTTCTATCCTTCTGAAATCTCGACTACTCGTATCCGAGCTAGAGCGCAAGCTTTTGGTGGTTTCGTCAATTGGATTTGTGTCTGTAGGTTGACTGGTCCCCATGGGAAGTAAGTGGCTTCGCTAACCGTTGCAGTCATTGTTGTGCAAATTACGCCAACGGCAATTGATAATATTGGATGGAAAACGTTTATCATCTTTGCCTGCTTCTGTTTTGCCTGGGTATGACCACGATTCCGACCCTAGTTTCTATGTTATATGGTACTGACTGAACCAAGATTCCAATGGTCTTTTTCTTCTTCCCCGAGACCAAAGGCCTGGAATTAGAAGATGTTGATCACCTCTTCTCAAGAGGCGGAATCACTGGAGGTGTTTGGGAAACTAGAGGTCATCCCGTTCTCCCTGGCCACCACCGAACTTTGAACACCGGGACGATTGAAAAACCAATCGAGACTGCACACATCGAGGTATAGGACTCAAGTTGTACGAAATATGTCCTCAGGATTCTTTCTGCCTCATTTTTATGTATATATGTTTTAAGACTTTCTTTCAATTTATATTTAGACTTCCAATAAGCCTCTTGACTCTCTGCTTTGCGGTCTACGGTGGGCATAACCCTCTTCACAATTACTGCAGGTCGACAGTATATAATCCTAGATTGCCGGTGTCAGGTTGAGATTCAGGTGTTAGTCAGCTATGATTCCCCGGCATGAATTCTACATCTGTAAGCAATTCTTTACCAAAACTTTGGTTGGTCTAATGGAGCAGAGATCGTAGAGGCGTGGTGAAAGCTATAAACAAAACCTGCGTTGGTAAACCGGGAAAAGATGCAAATGCCATATCATTGAAATCAGATAGGTACGCCTCCGAAATGATGTCGAGGCATTGAAGACAAAAAGAATCGACGATGAACCACCATCGTGCATCGATGCAGCCACGTCAAGAGTGCATCCAAAGATACCAACCATTTGAGTGAAACTTTTGTGTGCTCGGCGTATTTCAAGGTCGACGGAGCTGGCAACGGGACGAAGAGGGGCTATACTGGAGTAAAGGGGCGACGGCGATCAAGGTTTCGAAACGAGCGACGGGTTTGTATAGTGTTAGAATTGATCGAAGGTGATGAATATGCAAATGTGGGACGGCCAAGTTGGACTCGGTATGCGACGGTGCCCGAAGGCGTGGATTATCGGTGGCCTCGATTGTCCAGAGTTGTGGACGGATTATCCAAACGCGTGAAAGATATTCGGGGTATTGAGACTGGTCTCTAGTTGAGTGAGAGACGGGCGATGAGGGTGAATGGGGAGTTCAACATACCTCTGTCGTATATCCCTCGTTGAGACTGCAAACCAAGCCATCGACTTGCAACAACTACGCTGGCCTGCGTTCAGATTGATGTAGGTACGTCCGGTCTTAGCGCGATTTTCTCTAAACAAGGACGAACAAGACATTGGCTCGAGCTTACACAGAATGAAATTGAACTCGGGCAGAAGCTTTAAGAATAGCAGTAATCATTTTTGGCACAATCACAGTTAATACCAGTCTTTTCAAAACAAAAACGGAATAGGAAAATGAGACGGAAAGGACCTCAGAACAAGCAACTACGCAACGGAGTTGCCAGTCTGTTTCTCCTTCTTCTTTGGCTTGACAGAAGGGTTATCTCGGTTGTCTCCATCCTATCAATACCAGAAATGTTAGAATACCACATTACTCCCTATGAGCGACAGTATTAGGGAACTTACCACTGCCATGTCGTGGATGATTTTGAGACATCGGTTACGCATCTCCTCTGGATGGGCTGAACCCCCCCTATTGGCGATATTAGATAGGTTTCCATGGCCACCGGTAATGGCAGTATTGGTATTGTAGTCGACTACATCCAATGGATTCTCAAAACAGAATCTGCATTGGAGGACCTTACTTGCTGCAGGTAGTGCTCAGCCAGGGCATTGTACCGCGCGGTAATACGTGCCCACTTGCGCTTTTTGATGGCCTTCTTGTGTGCCTTCATCTTGGACAAGTGGCCTGCCTTCTTGTGTTTGCCTTGGGGAACGCGAGAAGGATTGGGGTGGGGAGACTTTGCCAGTGTCTTTGGCCATGCTGAAAATAGACAGAGCAAAGAAAAAGAAATGACGCTTGCAAATATTGGTTTGAAATGCGTGTCAAGGTACACTTAGGAGACTAGGTAGCCATGAGGGACATAGGAGAAAGAGGGAGAGATATTTTCGACATGGTACATTCAATCTACTGCATGTAGTATTAAGAAGCTCCAGGTAGGTTTAGGAGTGCCAGATACATTGGTTTAGCCTATGGTAGCTAGCATTAAGAAGTACTGGAGACTCCAAGTTGCATAGTAGATATAGGGTGCGGCTCAACTAGTACTAAGCCTAATTGGGACAGGTGTCTCACCTGGACACGTGAACTAACTGCTACTAAGCCTAATTGGGACAGGTAAGTGTCTCACCCAGACAGCGTGCACGTGCCACTCCCGGTTGGATGCGTACTATAAAACCCCGTCCCTCTCTTCTTTCCTTCTTCTCTTCTTCTCCTCTTCATACCTCTGTCCATTTCAAGTCCTTCAAGGTCAGTCAACCCAATAACTATTTCTCATTACCCCTCATGGTCCAGCTTGGAATATTCTGACACAAATCCAACAGGGCTTGGTGGCTTCCTTCGGGAACACCATGAACCCGCTGCAGTAAATGCGTCCCTTCTTCTGTCTACCTGGTGAACCTTTGTGTTGAGCTTCGCTCCTATGGGTTTTGCAAGAGTCTGTGCGGCTCGTTCTCTGAGAGAATGAGTGCTAACAGAAATGCGGCCAACCAGCCGTGGGAAGCCTGACCATTGCACGTGCCGTTAAGGGTAGATGGGGGTCGTGGAAAGGTGGGAATCATGGGTTTGGTCTCCTTGTACGATGCAGGTACTCAATACCTGAACACCGTACGTTGGGAGACCCGAAATTGACTATCTATGTACATTACGTACCTGCCCGGGAGGTATGTACATGTATGTAGGTAGCTCCAGCGTAAATTTGACTAGAGGGGCTGAACATCTTGTATATTCAACTCCCCTCTCTAGCCAGATTTGCTTTTGGAGACATTTTTTTCAATGTAACTAAGTTTATCATGTTCCTTCTTTCCTGTTCATAGCCATGTATCTAGTCAAAATAAACCTCACAAGAGCATCTCTACCACTATCCACAAATAAATATATTTTTTAACTCATATTCGAATGTACTATTGTATCATATTTGCAATTGCAAATATACAACCGCCTCCCAGGAAAGTGGTTGCTACAGCAAGACGGCCCCAACAAAATGTCATTACTGGGTGTGCCCGAAATGCCGGCTACCACCACACCCAGTTACATACCTAGGTACATGACTACAAATCCGGGGTCTCGTCCTATGTGCCCGAACCTGACTTTCCAAGGTTCCCGAGGTCCAGAGTTGTTTCTGAATGAGAGTGGGCCCAAGAGTGGACCACAGACCGGCCCGTCCCGCGAGCCAACTCTTGTGTATCCCGCCAAATTTCAAGGCAAGCACCCTGCTACGTCAGGTATCAACCCAATCAACTATTGTTCCAAACCCGGCGCGGTGACTTGGCATAGGCACCTGTGCATTCGGGCTCTTCTCAAACCCCCATCCACTCCATACCATATCCTTCTTCGGTGATTGACTTGTGTCCGTGTCAGCAGCACCCGTTTCCATCTGAGTTGTTCCTAGGCAAAGAGCCTATCTTATGGATCCAATTTCATCGTCAATAGATAACCAGAATCTCGTGTTGAGACCATACGCTTCTCTATCTGCCCGGAGCTTCCTGCCGGAGGGCAGGGTAGAAGGGCCCGCTCCCGACAGGCACTGCTGACAGCTGCTGGAGAGACGAAGTCCGGGGAAATTGACGCTGGGCGGGAGGGTGGCACCTTGTAAGGGCAATGCGATAGACATGAACGAATGGAATTCAGGTCTCCAAAAACTAATTAGTGTCAGCCCCCAAAACTCAAATGGAAGGCCAGCCAGAGAAGGCATAAACTCATCGGATAATCCGGGCATAATGGTCTCGCTCGTTTGACGAAGTTGATATGGACCACCATCGGAGAGTCATGAAAGTGGAAGCTGCCGCTGGCACGCTGTTTCTCGCTCCCCCTGTGGAGTAAAGGTGCTTAAAGGAACGCATAATTAATGTATCGGAATCACTCGTTGATGACTGGGGCACCAGCTAGGCCTTCAATAAGCACTGGAAGGTATGCACTCGATGCTAGCCCGAGACCTGAGAATTACATCAGCTAATGGAAGGCACAACTAGTTACTGTCTACATGTTCGATTTGTGTGGCATCAAGATTGGAAATACTCATTATCACCCAAAGGACGACCCCTAAGACCAAGTACATATTTGCGCACACAACAGCCCCCGTATATATACCAGTTGTTACCCTCCCCTACTTATCCCCATTGCGGAGATACTTCCAGATGGCCTGGGCCTGGGCGGTTCCGCGAGCTAGTTTGCGGAATTTGGGGAGCTTTGAGCGCACCCTATTGGGCTTGGGAGTGGGGTTGGTCTGCACTGAATTAGCTCTGCTACTTTCGAAGGAGTATAGGGAGCAACTCACGGTGGAGGCGGGGAGGGTCCCGCTTGGGGTTCTTGGGGATCAGCCCCATGACAGCCTCGCTCTTGGCTCGTTCCTCGGCCCTGGCCTTGAGTTGTCATTAGTATTGGTGTGAAGGTTGTATTCATCTTGTGAACGGGAACAGAGAAAAGGGACATATTGGGACGCATGACAGCTGGATAATGCCTTACCTTCTCCTTCTTGGCCTGCTTTGCCCTTTGTTTTTTCTGCCGTCTCTGCAGAAATGGCCTGTCGGCCGGCTTCTTGGGAGGAGGTGGGGGAGGAGGGGGGGAGGGGAGGGCCAGTGGCCGCAGTAGAGAGAACGGTAGCAGACATTTAAAAACAGTATGATTGGTGAATGATAGCGAATGTTGTAGTTGGTGTAGTAACAAGAGATGGAAAGTGAGAGAAAAGTGAGAGAAAAGAAAGAAGAAACGAAAGTGGAAGTAGCCGTGTGAGAAGAAGGCACGGCACTTCAAAGATCATAAGGGCAAAATGATAGAGAGCTGAGATACCCTGAGCTGTTTGTCCCTCTCAAGATAGATTAATTCGAAGCCTACGACCCGTGATGGATCCAATACTCGACGTTCAGATGGATAACAAGCCAAACACCAGAAACAACTTCTGGGAATTATCGATTTCAATTATGCAGATAATAGTTTTATGAGGAAAAGGACAAAAATGTTCAAGAAGATCAAGCGCCGAAAGGAAATCGCTGCGCAAAAGCACTCATCCATGCATAAGTTCGCTTGTAAAAAGGACAATCAAGACACAAGTAGAAGGAATTAATAACACATGCTAATCGAATGAACCCTATGTCCACACTGTAGAAGGACCAAACAGAAATCGGAATGGCGTAAATAGATAGATCGTTCAAAGAATACCCGATAAAACGGCTTCGGTGGCTGCATATATGTTAGCTGTGTCCATTAAAATATCGAATAAATGGTGACTTACCAGAATTGATGTATGGCCGCTTGGCGTCCAGGTTGACATCGAACCGTCTTTCAAGCTCCTGTTTGACGGTCTTCTTCGAGACCTTCATCAAGTCTGCAGTAGCCAAGATCTTGCGGATCTCTTCGAGAATCTCATCATCAGGAGGTAGATGGCTGAGGTCTTCCATGCCAAAGTTGCTCATCATTTCAGACGGGGCGACCGAGTAACGAGTGCCACCGCCCCCAAGAGGCAAGTCGAGCTGCGAGGCCGGGCGCGAGCCGGTATGGAACCCATACTCTGACTGCGGGAAGGGAGGCAGTCTGGTGCCGTATGAGTGAGCGGAGAACTCAGATCGGTCATCGCGCGAAGTCTGCGATTCCCACAGCTCGGCTTGGTAGTCTTCCCAAATTTTCTTGGGAATGGAGTCGGGGTCGAATTTGCCTTCGTCGGAAATGACAACCTTGCGACCTTTCTCTCCAGTGATAATACGCGTATTACCCCAGGAGAAGTCGTCCATGTGCCAGAAGGAATACAGTGGCAGAGCAAGGGAGAAGATGGGAATGGCTAGGAGGTAGATCAACATCCAGACGATCATTTCCCACTTACGCCGAACGAGGAAGATCAAGGCCTGTAGACCGTAGATGACACCAAGAAGAATAAAAGAGGTGATAGGCAGCACATCTGGCTCACTCACACACCAATAGATCAGGTAAGCGATGTAGGCAACCGTGACTGGCTGAATGACGGTCATGAGCAGATCGATGAGCACGATGAATCGCATACTGAAACAGCAGAAACCACACAGCTGTTGCAGCGGAATCAATTCCATCAAGTTGTGAACCGTAGAATTGATCCATCGGCGACGCTGGGAAAGGAAGACAGCGAAGCTTTCCGGTGCAACTGTCCAGGCATGGCACCGGAAGATATACTTTGTCTTGAACTTCGGGTGATGCTTGAGAAGAAGTGTCGTCAAGTACCGATCTTCACCAAGGTGCAGCAGATTCTTCATGTGGAGGGTATCGACGCGGATTTCCGAGTACGAGTCGACCACAGCCTTGCTAACAAAGAGAGGTGTCCCGTTCTCCGCTGTGCGGATGCGATACATAGTGAAACAACCGGGCAAGCAAGTGACGGATCCAAACAAACTTTCGAATGCCTTGGTCAGGTTGTGAGAGATGTAATATTCATAAACCTGGATCATTGTCACGATAGAGGTCTTGGCGTTAGACAAAGACGTCTCTCCACAGCAGCCGATGAGACGCGTATCAGAGAGGAATGCCGAAACAAACCGTGTGGCCGCATCGGGTGCCACCATGGTATCAGCATCGACCTGTAGAATATACTCGTAGAATTGCGGATTAACGCCAATGATATTCCGGATGTGATGATGCATCTCAAGCTCCATGGGGCTCATGGGCAGGTTGTAGTGAACACGGTTGAGGAAGCGCATAAGAACCATCTGGGAATCACGTTTTCCGCGGTTACCAGGACGGGACACTTCAGAAGGCTTGCCAACTTTTACAACGACCAGGAAAGGAACGATGTGGCCCTGCACTTCGTAGAGACCAGAATAAATCTTTGCCATGTTATGCTGCTTCATACCCTCGCCTAGACTCTCGAAGCTGAGGGGTTCGGGATCGACAGATTCGGGTACACCCAAAATGTCGAGGACGATGCGGGGAGTCGGACGATCGTTGCCCTGGCCAATAATCATACCATCACAAATAACGAGCAGTAGTTTGCGCTTGTCGTCATAGCGCATGCGAGCCATAGAGTCCATAGCACGACGCAATGACTCTTCGTCTTCGGTATACACCGGAACTTGGCAAATGATGAACTTGTCCAGATTCTCCGGGAGATTCTTCTTTCCGAATTGCAATGCAGCCAAAAACTTGAAGCCAATAATGCTAACAAGCATGATCGAGATTGCAAGAATGAAGTACCGCGCAAACTGACAGCGAACGGAGTCTCGGGTGTCGACCTTGCCAATGAAGAACAGGTTGTCAAGGCAAAGTTGCATTCGGGACCTGAGTGCCGTGTCGAAATTCAACTCATCCCAATACTTACTCACATCCTCTCCGGGCTTTCCCTGGAAGATATCGACAATCAAAGGGCTCATGTAATCAGTATCAACATTGCCCGTGCCGTTCTTCCCGGCTGGCCAGCGAGGTACTCGGGGCCCAGCAATGTAATAGGTCATGTCGTAGACCCTCCCGTGGATACTGACAACTTTCTTGGAATCATCGACCGCCAGCTTCTTGATTGCCTTTGAAGTATAACCAACGTAGCCTTTCTTGTAATTCGAGCGCATCATGAGCATTTGCTCATAGAACCAATCAGCTCGGGAGTCGTTAGTCCAAGAGCGGAAATCGTGGTACTTGGCGTTAACATCAAAGGTGGAGCTGGACGCTGTGACTGCGGAATCGTTCAAATTTGATCGATAGTCCAATGGCACGCTGGCATCCACTTTCCCATTGACACCCTGGCACAAAGCCGAGACTTGAACAGGGAAAAGATTGGTGGCGTCAGTGCCTGCATAGGCCTTGAGTGACTTCTGGGGAACGATATCAGGGAAGTGGGATGGCATGAAATCTCCGAGGTTGAATACCACGCCTCGAATGGAAACATAAGACTCTGCTGAACCCTTGCCATTCTTGCCGCTGAGCTCTGCCGTGTTGTAAACATCCTGAGTTGGACAAACTACTCCAGGGAAACCCACAATCATGAAAACTGCTACACCACAGGCGAACCAAATGATCATATTGATAGCAAGCTTTTCACGCCAGGCAATTCGCACGTCCTTGCGCTTCATTCGCCCAACGAACCGAATGACGAAGTCGGGAATGAAGAATGTGAGGAGATAGACCAGGAACATCCAACGACGACGACCCGCAGAGATTGGAGCCTCGTCGACCTCCTCCATCTTCTTTTCGTTGTTCTTCTCAAGCATTTGCTCTTTTGTGTCAAGGTTTTTGAACATATCACCGGAGTTGAACGCGGAACCTCCTGCATCAGAGCGTCCATCCAGTTCGCGGCTGCCAAAGTATCCCTGTTTGGGATCATCTCCATAGATAAAAGCACCTGGAGACTGGTCGGTGGGGTGAAGAAGTCGGAGTTTGGAGTCCGGGTTTCCACCGGCGGTTTGGAACCCATCGCCTTCATCAGCACCAGCATTTCCATAGGACGGTACCACGCGCTCGCCCACTTTGGCGATATCGGCCCAGCATCGTTCGCTCAAGAAAACGCCAGTGCTACCGACACGAGCTTCGTTGCCAGGCCATCGCTTTTCGTCGAGAACAACTTCAGACTTTTCGCGGTCGCTTCCCACCACAACATTCCCGATGTCAGCGAGACCAAGGAACTCTCCGAACGGAAGGAAGACACTATAATCGGCGTTCCGCAGCCGCGAGCTGATTTCGGCGATACCGAATGTTTGGACCTGCATCCGCACACACTTGCTGTCGAACTGATTGGCAATGCGACGATCATTCGGCTTGAGACAGATGACGAAATACGGATTGAGGTTTGAGGAGCTCAGGCATTTGTTCACAATCTCCAGGCCAGAAAGGAACTGACCGGCGGCCCCCTGAGCCGGGCCGGAAGGCATTCCGCTCTTCCGGCCGTTAGCTCGCTTGGAACCTGCAACTTGGCTTTCATGTTCGTCACCGTCCTCACTTTCGGGGTGGGCACTCGGCGCAGCGAAACGAGACTGGGGACCTGTCTTGCGTCTGGCCATGCTAGGCATCCGCAGTGGCTTTGAGCTCACCTGAGCCTGCATGATGGCAGTCTTTTCTTGCGGATGGGATATGGTCTGCAGAGCTTCCTGATGGAACAATTCGCGCACAAAGTCACTTCGGGTGGAGCGCACCAGGTTCATCAGATCTCCCGAGATAACTTCTCCATTCTCCTCAAGCAGGCCGGTGGTGGAGTAGTCCACCTCGCCGGCAAAATGCTTGACAGTGAACGCACTCCGGGTCTGGGACATATAGCCACCTGATCCACTGGTGCCACCGACAGAGATGGCGGGGTTCTTGTTCTCGAAGCGCTTTCGCACGCTGTCCAGGAACTGCGCATCCGATCTTCCACGGCGGGTCTGGTCATCCAAAATACTCAACAAACCGTTGCCGTGCTTCAGCAGTCCGCGCACGGTATCCGTGTTATCAAAATAGCTTGTCGCGGCCACAGTGATCTCCTCGCGGTCCAGGATATCTGCCTTGTGGTCAAAGAATGACTGAAGGCAGTAGTTGTAGAGCGATTCAGTTGCGGCATTGCTGAGAAGCTGATCGAGAGTAGACCCTGTGGAAGGAGCTTGAGCGAACCCGGGGAAATCAACAATGGAGATGGTGTTGGCAACACTGTCCTCGGCTGCACAGAGCCTTTGGTTCACTGTTTCAATAACGTAGGTCACTAAGAGCGAATAAATAGTACGTGCAAATGCATCAGCATTCTCTCGCGCTCCCTTCGGGTCGAGCATGACCGTCACACGCTCACGGTGGATTGTCTTCGTCCGGTAACCAAGGCTATTTTCCAGAGCATCAACACTGAGACCCAAAAATGCGGCGACATTGTCGAGGACATCCTTGTTCTTCACCACCGTTACAGTCTCACCACCCTCGTGAGAATAGCCGCCACTTTCTTCCGCGCCGGTGGTGGTAGACTGACCCGTGGCGAATTCGAGTTGTCCAATGTGCAGGATACTGGCCAGGATCTGGCAGATCTCGGCGATTTCCCCCCGGGAGAATTCCAACTTCCGCAGCGCGGTTTTGAAATGCTGGAAGCCCTCCGTATCATTGATTCCGACCTTGAGCTGGGTTGGATGACCGAGATAGCGCCAGCGTTTGTGGCTGACAGTTCCCCCAGACAGCCTGCTACCAGTTTGAACATGGATGCTATTCTCAAATCCCAAGTGTGACTTCTCCGCCGCACTTGTTCCAGCTAGCAAATAGTACAGCACATGGAAGCTTCGCTCTCCTGTGGGCACCGAAGAGATTCGGCTTCGCTCCAATCGGTAGTCAATGATCTTACCACCGATCAAGGTGGGGTTCACGGAGGATGATCCATCATATTGAAGCTCAAGGAAGAGACCAGCTTTTGACGCGGTGGGTGTAGTGACGGATTTGGTGGTTGTGAGAGTGTCGAATACAAAGGCGGCATATGAGAGTTTCGAGGAGAGCGGGGTTGATGAAAAGGATAAGAACGAAGACAACAAGTGCGAGCGAATGGTGGTTTTTCCAGATCCGCTCTCTCCTCTTTAGTCGAACGTTAGATATTGGTCTTATATAGAGCATTGGTTCAGCTTACAGGAATACAACGGCTTGGTTCTCAGCGCGTGCACCTAGACGGGTGAAGGCGCGGCGCGCGAGGTCTTCAGCCTCGCCCGCAGCACTTCCCTCTTTTCCGCCATCCGGTCCTTTGGTCGCTGATGTATATGTATTCAGAGCAATGAGGGCCTGAGACGACAGGTGGGCAGTCGGTAATCCGACATGAAACCTAAGGCACACGTTAGCTACGCCGAGATTGCAATGAACAGGGTCGGGGATCTTCATACCGGCTCGCGAGATGGGCCGTGAGATGTGTATCGGACTGTAAGTGGGCGGGTAATGAGGGCAGTGAGGGCTGAGCGTGTGCCGGGCCGCTCCCAGAGAAGGTATTGACCATCCTTGAGTCCCCTCGGTTGAGATCCGAGGGTGTGAACGAGTGTATGATGGGCAATCCGGACGTCAACTATTGACAGAGCGAGTGGCTTGAGAAGCCTCGCAGTGACGGAATGAAGGTGAAGCGGGACGAGTAGGAATTCCTTGCGGACTTGGCGTAATAAAGCCCCTAGCAACAGATCGAGATCGGACGCATCGGGGTGCCGAGGGGGAAAGATTCGAAGGTGTGAGTTGAGGTGTAATGGCGAGAGTACAAGGTGAACGAGTGGCTGAGAGACAGAAAAATCGAAGCAAAAGCAGACACAGAAATCAGATGCACAAATCAGCCCAGAATGCAAGATCACAAAGGGAGAACCTGAGAAAAAGCAACAAATCGATAAGAGCTCGGGGGGGGATTCGTATTGTACAATACAACACAAATTACTAGCTCGGTCGCTAAGAATAGGTGAACCTCGGCCATACCGATTAAACGAAGTCTATTTGGGGATTCTTGGGAATTTGGGATATTTAATTGGGTTTGGCTTCATTGGGTGTGTCTCGGGTGGAATCCACCAGAGCTGATAATGGTTTCCACAATAATATGGGTATTTGAAAGACACATCCAGATAATGATCTAAGTGCAAATACAAAGCGAAAGATAAAAGTCAAAACAAAGACAATATTCCGTGTGTGTATCAGAACAAGCCGGTTTTGAATCTTTTTTAATATACTCATGTACTCCCTAAGGAGTACATCAGTCTCATATTAAGAGATCTCCACTCCAACTGTTACAGAGCTACACATATGTACGTGTACTACCATGGATGTGCATAGAACTAGAGTACTGTAGCCGGTACGGAGTACAGGGGCCAGATCCCTGGAGAACGTCAAGTCCCATATTTTCCACCAATATTGACCTCCTTGCGAGGGGCCTGCATATCAAAAACTCTGAAAATATGAGGCAGAATACAATGGAGAAAGTAAAAGTCTGAAACTAGGGGCACTCTAGGGCCGTTCTACCGGTCGGCCTAAGAAGATAGAGTGGTTCGACATTCTCGCGACGATGAATAGGCCAGTAGACAGGCTAGTAGAGGTGGCACAGTGGATCAAGTCTCCGATCATACATTATGTGGCGAAACTGGTCATCTGTTGAGGAAAAACCAGTGTGAGACATCCCAAATATAGTGCACATGTGGCATACCGAAATACTATTAATACATCAAATACATGTGTACACAAAAAATACAATACTCCATCTATCATTCTATGGGGTTCTGGGTCCAGGGTCGTCTATCTGATGCATTTTCATTGGTTGGAAACCTATCAAGCAGAAACCCATCAGGGTGAAAGAGCAACAAACATCCCATGGTTTCAAAATTACAGGGGGAAACTATTTCTTCAAATGCAAATACGGAGTTCAAATAAAATCTAGCCTATGTTAACATTTAGAATCAGACAGAAACTTGAAGAGTATTCATTTTGCTCTTCCAATACTGAACCAAGTATCAAAAGCTTAACTGTCAGACAACGCAATCGAGACGATCGTCAGGATCGACGGTATTTTTCCTTACCCTGTAATTTTCAACTCCATCGATTTCTTTCTCCCCACGCCTAACTTCTCAGTTGTTTTGCCTTCATCCTCATCCATTCAGGAGTTCCGTCTCCAGTCGCTCGCTCAATTATCCAAATCCTTGATCGTCCAACCCTGACCTACTCTTAAGTCTAACTCTATCACAACCTCTACACGTCAACTCTCACTGTACATTTAGCGGGACAAACTACGAACACAAAGATAGTACCCTCATGCAGTTCTGATAACGGTCAGGCCGGACATCGCATCTTGCGGTTAACATACTTGACCCTCCGACCTCACGTTCATCATGTCGAACCGTTATTCGGTCTTCTCCACGCAGTCCACGGGTCTCTCAGCCCCCAGACCACAACATGGGACTCAGGTCTCAACAACAACGTTATTGAATGCCCTCCATTCTTTTTATACTGCTGGTCAGCCATATCAGCTAGATTCAGCCACGAGTTTGGTCGTGAATACGTGGGTGACCGCAGCAACCACTTTACCCGATGGGCGTACTGGCGCCACGGTCGACCGTGATCTGGCGATCAGAGCTTGGGAACATGCCCGACGCCGGGCCGAGGATGGCTGTGTTGTTCTAGGGTACGTTGGAAAGTGTATTTGTCAGAAGACCAGAAGTGCTAACAAAGAATAGCGCTCTCCATCAATCCACACCGTCATTGCTAGAACCGTTTATCGCAGCGATCCCGGTGGAAACACCAGAGGTAGCTCTGGTCGCGCTCTCCGCCCTACGACCCTTCCTCACTGCAGTCACCTCCTTCAACCCCTCCTACTCTCTTCATTCGGCATTGGCCGCCACTTACACCTTGTCTTTGCAAGGATCTGTGGTTGGGCTCTCCTTCGCCTTGTCCACCTCCGGTATCAATGTGCGCAAGGGTCTTCTAGAAATCCAGCCTGAGACCGGCTACCGTGCATTTGATGCCTTCTACTATCTCCTCACCTCTGCATCGACAGCTGCGGAGCGTGAATTTTTGGACTTGAAAGAGCCTGCTGCATATACCTTACTCAACCGATCAAACACATATAATCCTCCACACTATCTACCCACAGCCGACGACGCTGCTGCAGCAGAAGACTTCCGTGCTTCCTTGAAATCCATTGGCATCAAGGGTGCTGCTCAGCGAGGTTTGCTATCAGTCCTTGCAGGTCTCCTTAAGCTCGGCAATGCAGTTGGGTTCGAAGTGGACCAGGAAGATCTAGAAGAGGTCTGCGAGGATGCTGGGGGTCTTCTCAGGAATAGAGCCAGAAATCCTTCTTGATAAATGTTCCACTGATGAGCGGGAAGTGTTGATCGCCGGAATCTACGAGGCCCTGGTCGATTGGGTCATCAGCAAAGCAAACGAAGCCATCACAGCTGACATTCAGGTTGCGTTGGAAAACGATTCCAGCAACGGGGGTGGTGCTGCACAATGGTCAAACGATGACACCGTCAACCTGACTGTAGTCGATATTCCACGACCAGCTCTCGGTAAAGCGATCATGATGAGAGGAGTCTTCGATGATGGTCTTGGTCTCAATGCTGAAATGAAGGACGATGGAATTCCTCTCCCGCCCATTGGAGCTTCCGTCATTAGTGAAATGAATTCCGCAGTAGCCCAAGTTGAACCAGACCTGAATATCATGACAGGCCTTGCCGGGCGAGAACGCGAACACGATCTCGATAAGCGGCAGGGGGTGCTGGAAAAGGTAGGTGTTGAACTTGAGATTGACGCTTTTCTCCAACGTGTCCTATTCCCCGTTGATACCGAAGGTATCTCTGTGGGAAAACGCGGCCGCTTCGATCTTCCAACCACTCTCAACAGTAGCCGTGTCTGGTACCACCTGTCCCTCCATCCGACTGATGACACCCCGGAGCAGCTCGCGTCATCGGCGCCTACAGCATGGTCTGCAGGTGCAGTCTCCCGTCAATTGCGTGACTGGCGACTCCCGGAATGGGCCAACCGTCGTTTGAAGCAACTCGATTTCACCGCCGACTTCGACGTGGAAGAATTCGTCGGTCGGTATGCGCGACTGGGTTGCGCGGAAGGCCAAGATGGTGTTGAGAACTGGATCATCGAGAGAGGCTGGAGCAATGGCGATGCTGTTGTCGGTGAGCAGCGCGTATGGATGCGCGAGGGGGCATGGTGGGAAGCGGAGAGTATGCTAGATCTCAAGCCAGAAGAGACCCACGTGAATCCGTTCATGTACGGCCCTGCGTTGTACGAGCCCGGCTTCGCCCCAGATGGCACTGCCGTCCATGAAAATTCCAATCTTCTCGGCATGCCACCTGGCGGCGCCGTGGCCCCGAGTGTGATGGGCGGTGCCAAGTCCATTGCCCCCAGTGCGCCATTCACCAACGCTGCCAATGCCGGTGACTACGGCTTGGGCCGGAAAGGTGACGACAAGAAAGGAGACATTGCATACTACGATGAATATGGCCGGTACGTCGGCGAATTCGACCCTGAGTTCGGTGATCCGAAGCACATTGAGAAGAAAACTATCACCAAGGGCCGCAGACTCTGGGCTGGTTTCGTCTGGGCAATGACCTTCTGGATTCCTTCCTTCTTGCTTCGATATGTTGGCCGCATGAAACGGCCGGATGTCCGCCTGGCCTGGCGAGAAAAGCTCGTTCTTGTGTTTTTGATTCTGTTCTTCAACGCGCTTGTCTGCTTCTACATCATTGCCTTCGGTGATCTTCTCTGTCCCAACAAGGACAAAGCCTGGAATGAGAAGGAGGTCGGCTGGCACACAGCTGATAACGACTTTTTCGTCGGCATCCACGGCCGTGTCTACGACATCAGCAAGTTCTGGCGCACACAGCACAGTGACATTACTGGAATGGACACAAGCTCTGACAACATGAAACAATTTGGAGGACAGCTTTTAGACGCCTACTTTCCCCCTCCTCTCAACCGCTATTGTGCCCCATTTGTTAAATCTGATACGCTCGCCCTGCAGCACAACAAGACAGACGCTATTATCTATCCCACAGCTGAGCACAAATCGGGAGCACAGTCCTTAACCACCACCACGGCACTCCACAGGGATAACTGGTATGAAAATAAATTCTTGCCAAAGATCGGTACATACTACAAGGGTGACGTGGTTTGGACAAGGGATACCATCAAGAAGCAGGCCAACGCTGATTCTCGCTACTGGGTTATCAAAGACCAAAAGGTCTATGACTTGACGGACTACTTCTATACAGTAAAAAGGATGAACAATCTGGACCAATACAATTTCTTGCCGTCGTCTGTGACTGCTCTCTTCAAGAACAACATGGGAGAAGATGTCACCGACAAATGGCAGGATACACCGGACTTCAGGAATGCCCAGACATGTCTCGACTTTGTCTTCTATGTCGGCAAAGTTGATTTCCGTGACAGTCCACGATGCACGGTCAACAACTGGATCCTGCTCACCTTCACCATTCTCATCTGCGCTGTCATTCTGAT